AACTCTGGGTTGTTTTGTTTGATGATCCATTGGTTTGTTTTCTTGCATGTCCAGGGTCTTCTCGGGGTCTTCTCTAACACCAATGTTCAAAATCATCCATAATGTTTCTATCTTTCTTCAAATATGGTTGCCATGATATCAAAAAGATGTTGAGACTCTAGAAAGAATGCAAGGAAGAGCAACAAAGATGATTAGGGGGCCAAAAGCTAAACTATATGAAGACCGGTTGCAGAAATTGAGTATATCTAGTCTAATGAAAAAAAAGACTAGGGCAGAGGTGGGTTTCAGCAGGTTCTGACCAGTCCTGGAGAACCGGTAGCGGAACTTTTGAGTAGTTCGGAGAACCGGTAGTAAAAATTCTGACTGGCCCGGACCCCAACTATTCTCTGCCTCCCGAGTCCCAGCTGATGAGGAGGAAATAAGGATTTTGCAGTAACCTACCAAGAGCCTTGGTAGTACAGTGGTCTAAGGAACCCTGTTATTAAGCTGGTTATTAAGACCAGATGCCTGCAATTACTGCAGGTTCGAATCTCGCCAAGGCTCAAGATTGACTCAGCCTTCCATCCTTTCTAAGGTAGGTAAATTGAGGACCCAGTTTGTGGGGGCAATAAGCTGACTTTGTAGAAATATACAAAAGAATGAAGGCTATTGCTGAGCACTTTGTAAGCCGCCCTGAGTCTCCGGAGAAGGGCGGCATATAAATCAAATAAAATAAAAAAAAAAAACCTTCCCCTGGAGTGAGAGGGAATGGAGATTTTACAGTATCCTTCCCCTGCCACACCCACCAAGCCATGCCACGCCCACCAAGCCACACCCACAGAACTGGTAGTAAAAAAATTGGAAACCCACCACTGGACTAGGGGTGACATGATAGCAGTCTTCCAATATTTGAGGGGGCTGCCCCAAAGAAGAGGGAGTCCAGCTATTCTCCAAAGCACCTGAAGGCAGGACAAGAAGCAATGGGTGGAAACTAATCAAGGAGAGAAGCAACTTAGAACTAAGTAGGAATTTCCTGAGAGTTAGAACAATTAATCCATGGAACAACTTGCCACCAGAAGTTGTGAATGCTCCAACACTGGGAGTTTTTAAGAAGATGTTGGGTAACCATTTGTCTGAAGTGGTGTAGGGTTTCCTGCCTAAGCAGGGGGTTGGACTAGAAGACCTCCAAGGCCCCTTCCAACTCTTGTTATTCTAGTCCATATTTCTCGACAGCTGGTCCTTTTACTGTTGTTGGTTGATCCTCAAAGGCAGAAGCTCTCTAACCACTTCAATAGCTTCATTGTCAATTCCAAGGTTGGTTGCCTCCTGTATTGTCACTCATCCTGTTTCCCCCCCCCCCCCACGGCACGTCTTGACTTTTAGCCCTACGGCATTTGAGATCATTTGCATTTTCAACTCCCCAAGGAGGGGGGGGGTGATCAACAAGAGTTCTGTTTGTCTTTTAAAAACACATATATGACACCTGGACCGAACGGCTTGACTTTTCCTAGCACGTGGTCCGATTGCCCAATTTTAAAATTTAATATGGCCCAGAATGATTCTGCCACCTCCAAATTCCTGGATTGTACATGAATGCTAAATACCCTTTTTTCCTCCTTCCAGTAAAACGTTTGTTCCAAAGGAGAAGGTGTACCATTAAGTCACAACAACATTTCTTTGACCCTTGCTTCCTTCCTTCCTTCCTTCCTTCCTTCCTTCCTTCCTTCCTTCCTTCCTTCCTTCCTTTCCTTCCTTCCTTCCTTCTCCTCCCCCCACTCTTACCCCTCCTATCCCTACCCCTTTCCTTCCTTCTTCTTCCTCTCTTTCTCCTTCCCCTCTTCCCCTCCTCCTCCTTCCTTCTCCTCCTCCCCCACCCTTACTCCTCCTATCCCTACCCTTTTCCTTCCTTCCTTCCTTCCTTCCTTCCTTCCTTCCTTCCATCCTTCCTTCCTTCCTTCCTTCTTTCTTCTTTTTCCTTCCTCCTTCCTCCTTCCTTCCTTCCCCTCCTTCTTCTTCCTTCTCCTCCTCCTTCTTCCTTCTCCTCCTCCCCCACACTTACCCCTCCTATCCCTACACTTTTCCTTCTTTCCTTCCTCCCTTCCTCTCTTCCTCCCTCTCTCCCTTCTTCCCCTCCTCCTTCTTCCTTCTCTTCCCCCCCCATCCTTCCCCCTCCTATCCTACCCTTTTCCTTCCTTCCTTCTTCTTCCTCACTTCCTCCTTCCCTTCTTCCCCTCCAACTTCTTCCTTCTGCTCCTCCCCCCAAATTTACCCCTCCTATCCCTACCCTTTTCCTTCCTTCCTTCCTTCCTTCCTTCCTTCCTTCCTTCCTTCCTTCCTTCCTTCTTCTTCCACACTTCCTTCTTCCCCTCTTCCCCTCCTCCTTCTTCCTTCTCCTCCTCCCCCCACCCTTAGTCCTCCTATCCCTACACAAAGAAGAGGGAGTCAAGCTATTCTGCAAAGCACCTGAAGGCAGAACAAGAAGCAATGGATGGAAACTAATCAAGGAGAGAAGCAACCTGGAATTAAGGAGAAATAATGGCAGGAACTAAGGAGGAAATTCCTGACAGTTAGAACAATTAATCAGTGGAACAACTTGCCTCCAGAAGTTGTAAATGCTCCAACATTGGACGTTTTAAAGAAGAGATTGGATAACCATTTGTCTAAAGTGGTGTAGGGTTTCCTGCCTGAGCAGGGGGTTGGACTAGAAGACCTCCAAGGTCCCTTCCAATTCTGTTATTCTATTCTATTGCACCCTTTTCCTTCCTTCCTTCCCTCCCCCCTCCCTTCCTCTTAATTTAGTTTCATAAAAGGTGAAAGATAAGTGAAATCCAGATTCTATGGCAAGATCCTTCACCCAGTTTAGGAAGATATTCTTTTGCCAATGACCAGGCTAGCGAGCAAATCAAAAATTATATAGGATAGGATAGGATAGGATAGGATAGGATAGAATAGAATAGAATAGAATAGAATAGAATAGAATAGAATAGAATTCTTTATTGGCCAAGTGTGATTGGACACACAAAGAATTTGTCTTGGTGCATACGCTCTCAGAGTACATAAAAAGAAAAGATACATTTGTCAAGAATCATAAGGTACAACACTTAATGATAGTCATACGGTACAAATAAGCAATCAGGAAACAATGAATATCAATATAAATCATAAGGATACCAGCAACAAAGTTACTGGCATACAGTCATAAATGGGAGGAGATGGGTGATGGGAATGATGAGAAGATTAATAGTAATGCAGACTTAGTGAATAGTTTGACAGTGTTGAGGGAATTATTTGTTTAGCAGAGTGATGGCGTTTGGGAAAAAACTGTTCTTGTGTCTAGTTGTCTTGGTGTGCAGTGCTCTATAGCGTCGTTTTGAGGGTAGGAGTTGAAACAGTTTATGTCCAGGATGCGAGAGGTCTGTAAATATTTTCCCAGCCCTCTTTTTGACTCATGCAGTATACAGGTCCTCAATGGAAGGCAGGTTGGTAGCCATTGTTTTTTCTGCAGCTCTAATTTATCCTCTGTCTTGTGTCTGTGTCTGTCTTGTTGGGTTGCAGAACCAAAGGAAGGAATGATAAAGGCATAACATTGTGCGGCTATTGCGAAAACACAGGACTGCGTATGCTAAACTCCATTCAAATCAAATCAAATCAAATCATCCTTGGTATAATCATAGGCCAGCTAACAAAACTCAGCTTTCTTAGCGTGGAGTCAGTTGCATGTGGTGGAAGCTTAATTTTGGCGCCAGGGTTTTAATGTTTAGGGTTTGAAGAGATATATGTATGGTGCTAGATCAATCGAATAAATAAGTAACAGAATAACAGAGTTGGAAGGGACCTTGGAGGTCTTCTAGTCCAACCCCCTGCTAAGGCAGGAGACCTTTATGCTATTTCACACAAATAGCTGTCCAGTCTCTTCTTAAAAGCTTCCAGTGTTGGAGCATTCACAACTTCTGAAGCAAGTTGTTCCACTGATTAATTGTTCTCACTGTCAGGAAATTTCTCCTTATTTTTGGCAACGATTTGCTTTCCGAGCTAGCCATTTTGTTCCTGAACGTTTTGTTACTTCGGTAGAAGTGGCTTGCCCTATCCCCCTTTAGTTTAGCAAAAGAGTTTTTAGCTTAGTTTAGCTCGGGTGAACAAAACCACCGCCCAAATCCAAACCCCGAGCTACAAGTATTTTTCTATTATTTCAAAATGTCTCTCTGTTTCTAGTTCGGATTTCTCCTTGATTCGTTTCCAGCCCATTGCTTCTTGTTCCGCTTTCAGGTGCTTTTGCAGAATAAGTTGACACCCCCTCCTCCCTTCCCTCTTCTTTGTGGCAGTCGCAATAAATGGAGGGAACAAGACAGGGGGTGTGGAACGGAGTATCCTGCAATGGGGCAGTCCAGAACAGGGGTGGGCTTCAAAATTTTTTAGCAAGAGGTTCTTTGCCCGGTTGCTGGGTGGGCGTGGGCATAATGGGTGTGGCCTAGTCAGCCTCCTGCACCACGCTGGGGGGAGTTTGCCCTCCCCAGGCTCCAGAGGCTTTCCTCAAGCTTCCGGGAGGGCGAAAACAGCCTCCCCAGGCTCCAGAGGCCCTCTGGAGGCCGGAAATGGGCCTGTTTCTGGCCTTCCCGAACTTCTAGTAGGCCCATTTTTCGCCCTACCCGAGCCTCAATGCGCGCCCTGCACTTACCAGCATCCAAAACGGGCCACCTGAGGGCTCCTGGAAGGGAATGGGTGGGGTGAGCAGGGTCAGCCAGGAGTGGGATTTGGGGGTTCTCCGAGCTGCACAGAATCTTAGCTAGAGGTTCTCCCGAACCCCTGCCAACCCCCAGCAGCCCCCCCCCTTCCCCCCCCCCCGGTCTAGAAGTCTGAAAGTATTCTGGAAATTCTGACCGCAGCGTTTTGTTTCAGGCCGCAATTGCTGCTCCTATCCTTCTCACAAATGCTATCCTTCTGAGGAAAATCTCTTGCTTAGCCTTTCTGTAGGGTTGCGAAATGCACAAAAACATAATCTAACCTTTGCCATTTCTCTGCAGATGGCCCGGCCGATCCAGGTGAAGCCTGCGGACAGCGAGAGCCGTGGAGGTAGTTGTCATCTCGCCTTATTTTTGTCGGATCAGTCTATTGGAAAATATATATATATATATCTTCTGTCAGGTCTCCTAAACTCTGATTTGCAAAGTTCAGGCACCTACTGGGGCATGCAAGAGACTGAAATGTAATATAAAGTGAAAGGATTTGTGTCGGACCAAGATAGAATGACTGGAAGTGGGCAGATTAGATCCAAAGAGATCTCAAATTGAAATCTAGTCACTGACGGGAAGGGCAGAGAGAAAGAGGGACATGGCAGGCTAAGCCAAAATTGCTGGACAGTGAGATGGGCAACACATAAATAAATAAAATAAAATATAAGTAGTCCTTGAGTTATGGCCACCATTGGGCCGAAAATTTCCATTGCTAAGGGAGACATTTGTTCAGTGAGTTTTGCCCCATTTTGCGACCTTTCTTGCCACCGTTGTTAAGTGGATCACTGCGGTTGTTAAGTTAGTAACAAGGTTGTTAAGTGAATCTGGCTTCCCCCCTTGACTTTGCCGGTCAGAAGGTCGCAAAAAGGGGATCACGTGACCCCGAGGGGACACTGTGACCGTCATGGGACCGTCAAATGGGAGTCAGTTGCCAAATGCCCAAATTTTGATCATGTAGGGCCTGGTGGCTCAGCAGACTAATAGCATTGTGATTAACACCAACTGTCTGCAATTACTGCAGGTTCGAATCTCGCCAGGCTCAAGGTCGACTCAGCCTTCCATCCTTTCTAAGGCAGGTTAAATGAGGACCCAGTTTGTGGGGGCAATAAGCTGACTTTGTATAAATATACAAAAAAGTATGGAGGCTATTGCTTAACGCATTGTAAGCTGCCCTGAGTCTCCGGAGAAGGGCGGCATTTAAATCAATTTTTTTTTAAAAAAAAATGTGACCACGGAGATGCTACAATGGTCATAAGTGTGAAAAATGGTCATAAATCATTTTTTTCACTGCCGTTGTAACTTTGAACGGTCACTAAGGAATTGCTGTAGGTCAAGAATTTCCTAAAATAAAATAAAATAAAATAATAAAATAAAATAAAATAAAATAAAATAAAATAAAATAAAATAAAATTTGTCCCATCAAGAGAGGCAGCAAAAACTCCCCTTGTGAGAAGAGACCTCCCGCTGAACTTTTTCCTCTCAATCCTATCTAGACGATAGGATCATCCAGAAAATGAGAAGCTTTGGTTCCTTCCTTCCTTCCTTAGCCTACCTTATAGGATTGTTGTTAGATTCAGACAGGGGAGACCTGGATTCTAATCTACTTTCAATAAAGTAGAATGTTTGCCTCTCAGGGTTGAAATGAGGCATCCTTGATGGTTTCTGAGCTTGGTTGTTTTCTTGCAGGGTTTGTGGGGAGGAGGAGGAGTGGGGGGGAAGATGAGAGGTATGATGAGGGAGGGGGAGGAGGAAGAGGAAGGGGAGGAGAAGAGAAGGAGGAGGGAGAGTGAGAGGAGGAGGAGGAGAAAGAGAAGGAGAAGGAAGGGGGGAGGGGAGGAGAAGAGGAAGAGGAGGAGAAAGGAGGAGGGAAAGGAGGAGGATGAGAAAGAGAAGGAGGAGGAGGGAGAGGGAGGGGGGAGGGGGAGGAAAGAGGAAGAGGAGGAGAAAGAGGAGGAGGGAGAGGAGGAGGATGAGAAAATGTAGTAGTAGGAGAAGAGGAGGAGAAGGGGGAGGAAAAGGAGGAGAAAGAGAAAGAGGAGGAGGAGGAAGAGAAAGAGAAAGAGAAGGAGGAAGAGAAAGTGTAGGAGGAGGAAAAAGAGGAAGAGGAGGAGAACGAGGAGGAGGGAGAGGAGAAAGAGAAAGTGTAGGAGAAGGAGGAAGAGAAAGAGAAATAGAGGGAGAAGGAGAAGGAGGAGGAGGAGAAAGAGTAATAGGGGGGAGGAGGAGGAGGAGGAAAAGGAGGAGGAGGAGAACATTGGAGTTGGGGAAGAAATGAACAGATCCAACTTAGCACTATGGACAGCTCCACGTGAAATCCAGGCTGGAGAATCCTATAAGCTGGATCTCATCTTGATCTCAAATGGTAGAGAATATTTGTAGCTTGGAGTCGAACTGCAGTTTGGTTGCTTTCTTACAGACGTTTCATGACCCAACTAGGTAACATCATCAGCGCTTAGCACTCTAATTGGGTCATAAAATGTCTGCAAGAAAACAACCGAGTTCAGAGAGCGTGAAGGACAGCATTTTCTTGATTTAGCAACAAACAATTCTGAACAGAGATCTTAACCTGGTGGCTCAGCAGACTGATAGCATTGGGATTAACACCAGCTGTCTGCAATTACTGTAAGTTCGAATCTCACCAGGTTCAAGGTTGATTCAGCCTTCCATCCTTTCTAAGGTAGGTAAATTGAGGACCCAGTTTGTGGGGGCAATAAGCTGACTTTGTATAAATATACAAAAGGATGAAGGCTATTGCTTAACGCATTGTAAGCCACCCTGAGTCTCCGGAGAAGGGCGGCATATAGATCAAATTTTTTAAAAAAATAGATTCAGCTGTGAGTTCTTCTCTAGCCATCTCCTAATTAATACCAATTCTAAGAAAATTCAAGTATAGAAAAGCAGACGTGGAAAGGAAATTCATTCCCAACGGTCAAGCTGATTGGCCCAAAATCACCCAGCCAGCTTTCATGACTGAGGCGGAACTAGAACTCACCGTCTCCTGGTGATTGTCCCCATCTGTGTGAAGATGGCTTTCCAGCCTATGGCAGGGCTAGAACTTACAGACACCTGGTTTTTAAGCCTGCACCTAAACCACTATAAACCAAACTTGGTCTGAGTCTTCCTTGTTCGCAGGTAAATGTGCCAAGTTGCCTTTGAGGTGCTCAGCCATGGTAGAAGGCTTGAAATTAGGTGATTTCCTGTGTATTAGGCAGGCACGAACCTCGACCCTTTAAAACCTCAAACAGGGAAGTCAATGATGGCTCCTTGGTGCTCTCTGACCATGCGGGTTTTCTTGCAGAAGTTCCGGTAGCCAAACATCATCAGTGCCACTAGACTAAAAAGATCCAGGGGGAAAAAAATTCCTCAATCTATTCCATCCCCCCCCTCAGAAATTTACCATGAAGCCTTCCTGTCTTTCTTTCTTTCTTTCTTTCTTTCTTTCTTTCTTTCTTTCTTTTGTTCTTTTTTCTTTTTTCTTTCTTTCTTTCTTTCCTTCTCTCTCTCTCTCCCTTCCTTCTTTCTCCTTCCTCCCTTCCCTTCTTCCTTCCTCCCTTCCCTCCCTCCCTCCTTCTTTCTTTTTTCCTTCTTTCTTTCTCTCTCTCTCCCCCCTTCCTTCTTTCTCCTTCCTTCCCTTCTCCTCCTTCCTTCCTTCCTTCTTCTTTCCTTTCTTTCCTTCCTCCTTTCTTCCTTCTTTCTTTCTTGCTCTCTCTCTCCCTTCCTTCTTCCTCCTCCCTTCCTTCCCCTCTCCTTCTTCTTCCTTCCCTCCTTCCCTCCCTCCCTCCTTCCTTCCTTTTCTTTTTCTTTCTCTCTCTCCCCTTCCTTCTTTCTCCTTCCTTCCTTCCCTCCCTCCTCCCCTCCTTTCTTTCTTTGTCTTTCTTTCCTTCTCTCTCTCCCCTTTCCTTCTTTCTCTTTCCTTCCTTCCCTTCTTCCTTCCTCCTTCCATCTTTCCTTCCCTCCCTCCCTCCTTCCTTGCTTCTTTCTTTTTCTTTCTTTCTCTCTCCCCCTTCCTTCTTTCTCCTTTCTTCCTTTCCTTCTCCTTCTTCCTCCCTTCCTTCCTTTATTCCCTCCTTCTTTCTTTCTCTCTCCCTTCCTTCTTTCTCCTTCTTTCCCTGCTTCCCCCTCCTTCTTCTTCTTCCTTCCCTCCTTCCCTCCACCCCCCCTCCCTCTCTCCCTTCTTTCTTTCTTTCTTTTTCTTTTGTTCTTTCTTTCTCCCCCCTCTTCCTTCTTTCTCCTTCCTTCCTTCCCTCCCTCCTCCCCCTCCTCCCCTCCTTTCTTTCTTTCTTTCTTTTTCTTTCTTTCTTTTTCTTTCTTTCTCCTTCCTTCCTTCCTTCCTTCCCTTCTCCTTCTCCCTCCCTCCTTCCTTCCTTCCTTCTTTATTTCTTTATTTCTTTTCTCTCTCTCTCTGTCTGTCTCTCTTTCCATTTGTAATCTTCCCTGAGAAAGGTTTTTTTCAGACAATTGTATTCTCCAGCGCATAATGCTATCCATCAATGGTTTCTGAGACTTGTCAGGTTGCATTACTTTCCCTTTTGAGCAAATCCTCCTGATCCTGTCATTTACAATAAGGAGGCTTCTCATGAAGCCATTTAGAGAGGCTCCCGGATGGCTTTGCACAATCTTGGCAGGCCTCCCTACCCGGGGCCCTCCGAGAGCTCCTTTTGGGGAAGTGACATTTCACACTTAATCCTTCCGCATTCCGATGACCCCTCGGTTGGCAAAAAGCTTGACCTCCCTTGTGAGAGCGCTCACGTGCCTCGAACAATTGCCTTCGATCTTGCCCCGAGTAACACGCTGAGCTCCTTGTTAGCCAAGTCAAAAGCAGAAATCCGAAGGGGTTGGAAATACAAAAGTCTCTTTATTAATACGACACCGAGAAGATTGATCAGGCTGCTGTAGTTTGATCGGTGACTCGGCTTTTACAAACAGTTAACCATCACAGAGAAAAATGTATACCTTAAATCAGGGGGCTCCAATCTTGGCAACTTTAAGCCTGGCGGACTTTAACTCCCAGAATTCTGGGAGTTGAAGTCCGCCAGGCTTAAAGTTGCCAAGATTGGAGCCCCCTGCCTTAAATTAAGCAAAAATGGACAAAATTCCCTTTCTCAAATCTGCTTAAACAGAGACTCCTCAATTTACGAACACCGTTGAGCCCACAATGTCCATTGCTAGGGGAGACAGTTGTTAAGCGAGATATTTCCCCATTTTACGACCCTTCTTGCCACCGTTATTAAGTGAATCACTGCAGTTGTTACCTTAGTACAGGTCATCCTCGACTTATGACCACAGTTGAGCCCAACATTTTGGTTGTTAAGCAAAGAGATGTTTGTTGAGGGAGTTTCTACCCCATTTTACGACCTTTCTTGCCTCCGTTGTTAAGTGAATCGCTGCAGTGGATAAGGGAGTGACCCGGTTGTTAAGTAAATCAGGCTTCCTTCCCCCTTGACTTTTGCTTGTCAGAAGGTCGCAAAAGGGGATCATGTGACTCTGGGACACTGCAACCCATCGTAAATATGAGTCAATTGCCAAGCCTTGTCTGAATTTTGATCACATGACCACGGGGATGCTGCAACGGTCGTAAGTGTGAAAAACGGCCACAAGTCACTTTTTTCAGTGCCATTGTAACCTTGAATGGTCACTAAACGAACTGTTGTAAATCGAGGACTACCTGTAATCTGGGAATCCAAATATATGTTAAAGTGGGAGATTCAGACAGGAGTGTTTGCAAGGGAAGATCAAAAAATCCACACAGCCAGTGATTACAGCTCTGACCCCTTCTTATGTGGTTTGTCACTTGCCTATGGACCTTTTGCTGTCCCAAAGGTGCTTTTTCAAGAGGCAACTGGACTTTCTGCTTTTTCTTTGAAGACGTTTCGCTTCTCCTCCAAGAAGCTTCTTCAGCTCTGACTGGATGGTGGGGAATGGAAGGATTTATATTCCTTGCAGACAGCTGGACACTTGCATCCTTTTAGAGGGTCGTTGAGGCCACTTGGAGGTTGATCTGTGTCCTCAGGGTCACCTGAGTGGTGCAAATTATTATTATTATTATTATTATTATTATTATTATTATTATTATTATTATTAATTGAATTTGTATATCGCCCTACTCCCGAAGGACTCAGGGCGGTGAACAGCCAAATAAAATACATATAATACAAATGTTAAAAAACCATTAAAATACAATTAAATAATTGGCCCGGAAAACGAAATTTAAAACACCCCAAATTCATAAGACAAATTTAAAATTTAAGAATTTTAAAAAATTTTAAATTTTTTAAAAAAGTTTAAAAGAGAGGTTAGGCCAGGCCGGCCTGCTGGAAAAGAAATGTTTTGATGGCACGGCGGAAAGCGCACAGGTCCGGGATCCTCCGTATCTCCGGGGGCGGCTCGTTCCAGATGGCGGGTGCCCCCACAGAGAAGGCTCTCCCCCTGGGGGCCCCCAGTCGGCATTGTTTGGCCGACGACACCCTGAGGAGCCCCTCTCTATGGGAGCGTACTGGTCGGTGAGAGGCTACTGGTGGCAGAAGGCGGTCTCGTAGATACCTCGGTCCTAAGCCATGGAGCGCTCTAAAGATGGTAACCAAAACCTTGAAGTGCACCCAGAAGACCACCAGGAGCCAGTGAAGCTTGCGCAGGAGGGGGGTCACATGGGAGTGCCCCGTCGCTCCCATAACCACCCGCGCGGCTGCATTCTGGACCAGCTGGAGCCTCCAGGTGCTCCTCAAGGGGAGCCCCATGTAGAGAGCATTGCAGAAGTCCAGGTGGGAAGTGATGAGAAGTGTGGGTGTGGAGCCTTCTTGGAACTGTTGAAAAGACACCGTTGTAGACTAGAGATAGACTATGTGGTATCCCTCCCCCTATGTTGAAAGAGGACGCTTCAATTTTGACATAAGGCTTCTTTGACCTCTCTTTCAAACCAGCGATCCTCTCTGTCCAAAATATGGACTTTGCTATTCTTCAAAAGTGTGGCCTTTGTCTTTTAAATGCAGATAGACTGCTCAATCTTGTCCAGATGGGTTTGTTCTCCTATGTTGTGCCATGCATTGGTAAAGTGGTTGTTTTGTTTCCCCAATGTACCCATCAGGACAAGATTGGGAATCTCCATAGACATGGACCTGCTAATTTCCACTATAAATTCCTCCGGGGGCGGGGGGGACTAGTATTTATTCCATGCTACAAGATAGATCACTGCCTTGCAATATGCTTTTATTTTTATTTTATTTTTATTTGTTTCCTGCTTTTATTTTTTGATAAATAACTCCAGTCAGCTAACATAGCTAATACTTCTTCCTGCTTCTATTTTTCCTACAACAACACCCTTGAGAGGTGGGTTGGATTGAGAAAGAGGGACTGGCCCAAAGTCACCCAGCTGGCTTTCATGCCTAACATGAGATTAGAACTCAGAGTTTCCTGATGATTGGCCCAAAGTTACCCAGCTGGCCTTCATGGCTAAAGCAGGACTAGAACTCACCATCTCCTAGTGATTGGCCCAAAGTCAACCAGCTGGCCCTCATGGCTAAGGCGGGATTAGAATTCGCCGTCTCCTGGTGATTGGCACAAAGTCACTCCACCAGCTTTTATGGCTAAGGCAGGACTAGAACTCACCGTCTCCTGGTGATTGGCCCAAAGTCAGCCAGCCGGCTTTTGTGCCCCAAGAAGGTCTAGAACTCACTGTCTCCTGGTTTCTAGCCTGGTCCCTTCACCGTTAACACCAACCTGGCTCTCTTAAACCTATTGAAGGATTGAATTTTCCCCTTTGTGCCTTTCTCAGCCTCCGGGGACCTACTGAAAGTTGATGGTTCTGTGTCTTTTCTTTTCTTTTCTTCTAGGAGACCGAAAACTCTTCGTGGGCATGTTGAATAAACAGCAGTCAGAAGAAGACATTCTCTGTCTCTTTGAGCCTTTCGGGGTCATCGATGAATGCACAGTGCTTAGAGGTCCAGACGGAAACAGCAAAGGTCAGAGAGGGGCTGTAAAGCATTAGAGGGCAGGATATAAGTCTAAATTCTATCAATAAAGGAGAATATTTGTTGCTTGGGGCTGAAATGAAGGCTCCTTGGTGCTCTCTGAGCTTGCTTGTTTCTTCAAGACGTTTCATTACCCAACTCAGTAACATCATCAGGACTAACATTTTTCCCCCGAGGTGGGCGTGGGTTCCCGAGCTCCCTTTTCGGCTGTGACAGCCTCCTGCAACCCTCTGCCAGCGAAAACGGAGCTCGGGAGGGCTTCAAGCAATTGAAGCGGGCCGTGTTGTGACCCAGGCCCAGGTAGTTAGTATTAAATACAAACAGTTCCAAAACAAACCGACTTTATTAGAACAGCTGAGAATTAACTCATTCTCAGCTTAGTCCAAACTAAATTAAAGCAAATTCTTCAAAACACCATTCCTCAGTTTATCACCTGACCTTGGGATAATTAGGCAAACTGCCAAAGGCTTTTCTTGGCAAAAGTTCAGAAGCAGAGGACACCGACAAGAAATGAATACAGTGAAACAAGAAGCAATTCTCTCAACGTTGTTTTCCGGCAAAGAGCCCAAGAGCCATTGCTGGTCTTTTAAGCCTTATGGGAGGGGCCAATCATCTCCTGGCCTTACTCCTGAGTCGTCCTCTCTGCTTTAGCTGCTCCTGCCTTCGGGCAGCTCTTCTCATCGGTGCACTAGGAACAGGCTCCTCCTGTTCCTCTGCCTCTTTACTGTCAGCCTCTGGAGGCTCTGGAGTCTGCACCTCACTCCCCGATGGCCCTGGCTCCCATCTCTGCCTCCGACACAGAGCCCTCATCCGGGCCTTCCCCAGCCTCCAGGACTGGCCCATGTTCTTCCTCAGCCTCATCGCTGTCCGACTCCGCTGCCAGCTCCGCAGGCTGCGGGCGGATCACAACAGGCCGGTCCTTCGCTGTCTCCAGCGTGGCACTGCGGGGTAGATTTAAGTGGCCCACGGGACAGATTTGGCCGGCAGGCGTTGAGTTTGCCAACTCTGTTCTAGTCCAACCAGAGTTGGAAACCCTATCGCATTTCAGACAAATGGTTGTCCAATCTCTTCTTAAAAACTTCCAATGTTGGAGCATTCACAACTTCTGGAGGCAAGTCGTTCCACTGATCAATTGTTCTCACTGTCGGGAAAATTTCTTCTTAGTTCTAGGCCTCTTCTCTGCCTTAATCCTGGTTTAATCCTGTCCCTTTCCAGGTTGTGCCTTTGTTAAGTTTTCCTCGCACAACGAAGCCCAAGCAGCCATCCATGCGCTCCACGGCAGCCAAACCATGCCCGTAAGTAAACACCCAAATCTTGCCACAGGTCAAGAAGACACACAGGGATCCCAAATGGATATCATTTAGCACTGTCCCCACATCTGGGGTCAATGGAAATGGAGCAGGGGGGGGCAAACATCTGGTGAGGAAGTCTATGGAGATTCTCAGTCATCGAGGTCATGGTTGCCCCAAAGGTGCTTTTTCAGGAGGCAACTGGACTTTTCTTGATTTTTCTTTGAAGACGTTTCGCTTCTCATTCCAGAAGCTTCTTCAGCTCCGACTGGATGGCGGGCGATGGAAGGATTTCTACTCCTTGCAGACAGCTGGTCATTTGCATCCTTTTTAGGGACCCGTTGAGGCGACTTGGAGGTTTGTCTGAACTTATAGTGGAAATGAGCAGGGTCCACGTCTATGGAGATTCTCAATCTTGTCCTGATGGGTACATTGGGGAAACAAAACAACCACTTCACCAATGCATGGCACAACATAGGAGAACAAACCCATCCGGACAAAATTCAGCAGCCCATTTAAAAGACAAAGGTCACTCTCTTGAAGACAGCAAAATCCACAACCTGGACAGAGAGACTGCTGGTTTGAAAGAGGGGTCAAAGAGGCCACCTATGTCAAAATTGAACAGCCCACTCTCAACAGAGGGGGAGGGATACCACATCATCTATCTCCAGTCTACAACAGAGTCCTTTCAGCAGTTCCAAGAAGGCTCCACACCCATTAGCACCACTCAGGTGATCATGAGGACACAGATGAACCCCCAGGTGGCCTCAACGACTCTCTAAAAAGGATGCAAGTGACCAGCTGTCTGCAAGGAGTATAAATCCTTCTTTCTCCCACCATTCAGTGAGACCTGAAGAAGCTTCTTGGAGGAGAAGCGAAACATCTTCAAAAAACAAACAAACAAGAAAAGTCCAGTTGCCTCCTGAAAAATCACCTTTGGGACATCCAACTAGGAAATTGAATGCAATGGGAACTGCAACATAGGAATCATGCTTGTTCTGGGTTTCAAAATGCAGGGCAATTTGAAAGGGAAACCCAAGATGGGTGGGGCTGAACCCCAGTTTGTGAGTACAGGTAGTCCTTGACTTACAACAGTTTGCTTAGTGACCGTTCGAACTCACAACCGCACAAAAAAGTGGCTAGTGATCATTATTATTCACATGACCGTCGGTCACAGGATCAAAATTCAGAACCATGGCAACAGCCTCAAACCTACGACGGTTGCAATGTCCTGGGGTTATGGGATCCCCCTTTGCGACCTTCAGACGAGCAAAGTCAATGGGGGAAGACAGATGCACCGAACAATCATGCTCGCTTAACAGCTGCAGTGATTCGCTTAACAACTGTGGCCAAAATGTTCGCAAAAGTGGGCGTGACTCACTTAACAGCCCCCTGGTTTAGCGAGGGAAACTCTGGCTCCCATCACAGTCGTAAGTTGAGGACTGTTCAGCTGCAGAATTTTCTGTACTGTGCAACTGAGCAGCCGAATGGCCCCCAGAATAACAAGAGTTGGAAGGGACCTTGGAGGTCTTCTAGTCCAACCCCCTGCTCAAGCAGGAGACCCCATGCCAGTGATGGCTAACCTTTTTGCCATCGCATGCCAGGAGGGAGGAGGGGTCGAGTGCGCATGTGCCCACACCATAATTCTATGTGGCCCGTGCATGCGTGCGTGGCCCCCTCCCCCCACTCCTAACACATGATGGCCTGGGACAAGGCAGAGGTAACTGGGGAAGGCGTGATCAATGTGCCTGGTATAGGAGATGTTACTGGGGCACTGTATGTTCCCTCAATCAAGAACAACCTTTTAAGTATTTTAAAACTGACTGAGGATACAAATGTAAAACTGATATTTGAGAAGGGTGGAGGTTATATTTTCGAAAGTGGGGATGTTTTTCTCTTTATTGAGCATAACGAACTGACCCTGACTCAATGAACAGTTAGCACTGAACTTTGGCCCACCCAAAACCTCTCTTTCCGGTTCCCAATTCTCTGCGTCTCATTGGCCATCTTCCAAGCCACTCTATTCATCCCATTTCTGTCAGTTCACAGGAATGTCCCAATCTCTTCCCATCTCCATGGAGACAGTTCTTCAGGGGAATTAAGTAGGTGAAAGTTCAAGCCTCTCCTCTCCTTATGGCAGCTTGGAAGCTGACATCTGGCGATATTGTAAAAATCAACAATTTGCCTTATTTTTCCCCAAAAGCAAAGGTCAAAAGGCACAAGACACCTAATAAGAGGGCACAGGGGGCTAGCGTCCTGATGGAGCAGAAAGCTCCTGTGCCAGCCCCCAGGTTGTCCAAACTCAAGGATGCTGGACCTAATCCCAATGAAGCTCCTAAATCGGCTCCTAGGACATCCAAAGCCATTAAGGCTGAGCCCATTAAGATCACAACTCCTCAGCCAACCCTGAGAAAGTTTAAGATGACTATTAATCCAGTGCCTACTGTCATTACTGCACAGACCAAGACTGGTAATGATAAGATACATAAGGTTGACAAAGTATGTATGGGTAAACCTTTACATTTAGATTGTGCACATATATTACACCGCAGGCTCAGCCATGCCAGCTTCCAGGTTATTAGGAAAATGCAAGATTTTTCTCACCTGGCTCCAGAGCCTCTCTATGAGTCTGGGGAGGGTGAAAACAGCCTTCCCCATCCCAGTGGAGGCCCTCCGGTGGCCAGAAACGGCCCGTTTACCCAACTTCCGGTTGGACAGGAAGTGACATTTTTCCTGTCCCCAGCCTCCAGAGACTCCTAGAGTGGCGAGAGAGAAAAACGGGCCTTCCCCACCACCCCCTAGGCCCGTGATGGCGAACCTATGGCACGCGTGCCACAGGTGGCACACAGAGCCATATTGGTGGGCACATGAGCTGAGCTCTGGTGCACATGCGTGTCCCGGCCAACTGATTTTCAGATTTTCTGGGCTCACCGGAAATCAGAAAACACAGTTTCCGGCCTCTGGGGGGGTGAGGAAGACTCATTTTTCGCTCTCCCCAGGCTCCAGAGCCTTTCTAGGAGCCTGAGGAGGGCGAAAACGGCCTTCCCCACCCCCCTGGAGGCCCTCCGGAGGCTGGAAACAGCCCGTTTCCTGACTTCAGGTGGGACCGGAAGGCCCGTTTTTTGCTCTCCCCAGGCACCAGAGCCTTTCTAGGATCCTGGGGAGGGCGAAAATGGCATTCCCCACCCCTCCAGAGGCCCTCCAGAGGCCGGAAATGGCCCGTTTCCTGACTTCCAGTCCCACCGGAAGTCTGGTGGCCCACCGTGCCATCGCATGCCAAAAGCAGGGGGAGCGCGGGGGAGCACGTGCATATGCGTGGGGCGGGACACATAGAATTATGGGTGTGGGCACACGCATGCATGACCCCCCTGCACTCCCCCCGCTTTTGGCACTCGATGGCAAAAGGTTAGCCATCACTGCCCTAGGCCCTCCAGAGGCAGGAAACAGCCTGTTTCCCTACTTCTGCTGGGCCCAGAAGGCCCGAAAATCAGCTGGCCAGCGCGCATGAGCTGAGCTCGCGTGCCCACTGATATGGCTATGCGTGCCACCTGTGGCACATGTCCATAAGTTCGCCATCACAGCCCTATGCCATTCCAGACAAATAACAGAGTCACAGAGTTGGAAGGGACCTTAGAGGTCTTCTAGTCCAACCCCCTGCTCAAGCAGGAGACCCTCTGCCATTCCAGACAAACAGTTTTCTAACCTCTTCTTAAACCGCTCTCGCCCCAGTTTGTCCTCTCTTTTCCCACCCCAAGCTTGCATTTTTGTCTAGCAGGGTGCTTCTTCCAGCCTCGTGGTGAAGTTCGCGGACACAGACAAGGAGCGGACGCTGCGACGAGTGCAGCAGATGGTGGGGCAGCTTGGCATTCTCACCCCCCCCTTCGCCTTGCCGTTCAGCCCGTACAGCGCGTACGCTCAGGCGGTGAGTATCAACGGGACGCAAGCCAGTTTTTCTTTCCGCCGGAACTGGGAAGCGGGGGCTGCCACGGGGCGGCCGGAGCCAGCTTGGGTTCATCGTGAGAAGCGGCTTTCCAGGACATCTGTAGCATTTGCGAGAAGGAAAAGGACTGCGGAATGTTGGAGAAACGAGCAATGAATATTGCAATCTTTCATCCCCCCCATTTCAAATGCCAGCTTTACCCTCTTCCCCGGTTTTCCTATCAGTTTGCCCAGGGGTAGGATTGAAAAATGTTAGCAACCAGTTCTCTGCCTGGTTGCTGGGTGGGCGTGGCAATGGGGGTGTGGCCTACTCAGTTTCTTGCACCATGGCGGTTGGACATGGGGTTGCCCTCCCCACGCTCTGGAGGCTTTTCTCGAGCCTCCGGGAGGGCAAAAACGGGCTCCCCCGGGCTCTAGAGGCCCTCTGAAGGCTAGAAATTTATTTTATTTATTTATTTATTTATTTAAATTTCTATACCGCCCTACTCCCGAAGGACTCAGGGCGGTGAACAGCCACTGGATAAAACACATAAATTCAAAAATTTTAAATAGAATAAAACGAATTAAATAATTTGGCTGAACAAATTTAAAATACCCCATAATTTAAAAACAAATTAAAATTTGCATTTAAAAAGGAGAGAAGATTTAGGCCAGGCCAGCTTGATGAAATAAAAAAGTCTTAAGCGCGCGATGGAAGGTGCGCAGATCCAGGATCCTCCGTATCTCCGGGGGGAGCTCGTTCCAGATCGTAGGTGCCCCCATAGAGAAGGCTCTCCCCCTAGGGGCCGCCAGTCGACGTTGTTTGGCTGACGGCAACCGGAGGAGCCCCTCTCTATGGGAACGTACTGGCCGGTGGGAGGCTATTGGTGGTAGCAGGCGGTCCCATAGATAACCATGTCCTAACCCATGGAGCGCTTTAAAGGTGATAACCAGAACCTTGAAGCGCACTCGGAAGACCACCGGGAGCCAGTGCAGCTCGCGCAGGAGAGGTGTTACATGGGAACTCCACGTCGCTCCCATAACCACCCGCGCGGCCACACTCTGCGCCAGTTGGAGCCTCCGAGTGCACCTCAAGGGGAGCCCCATGTAGAGAGCGTTACAATAGTCCAGACGAGAGGTGACGAGGGCATGAGTGACTGTGTGTAGAAATGGCCTGTTTTCAGACTTCAGTACTTCTGGTAGGCCCGTTTTTCGCCCTCCCAGAACCTCCGCACAGGCCTTGCACTTACCTGGCATCCAAAACGGGCTGCATGGAGACTCCTGGGAGGGGAGGGCTGCAGCAAGTGAGGCCCGTTTGCCACTGTTTTCCATTCCTCCCTCCAAACAACCACGAAAGAATTAAATCATTGCAATAAACAAGGACATCATTCCATTTTGCAGCTACTAAGATTGTTGGGTGAGCAGGTACAAAAATAGCCAGGGAAGTGATTGAAGCCTGGTGAACAGGACTGATGGTTTACCAGCAACTTATCCAGTACTTAGGAGGGCAAGGCTGGGCAGCACAAGGAAACAACAGCCAACCTCTTAATAGCCAGCCAGCCACATCCCAATCACACACACAACAGGCACCACATAAATACCACACACAGAATCGTCTGCTAGAGAGAAGTTCCCTGAAGATGGGCTCCGGCATGAGTCTGAAAGCTCGAAAAGCTAAAACCTCTGGTCCCAGTGACTGACCCAGATTGGATCCTGTGAAATAATTCTAGTATGCTGGATTTCTTTGGATCGTTTACAAGGCTGCTGGTTCCAACAGTGCAATTCTGGGTGGCACACGACAATCGCCAAGCAACATTTTTGAGAGTTGCATTTTTGTCCCAGGAGTCTCTAATTTGTCATTCTTGGACTATCCCAAAGTGGAATTACTGCGTTCTATTCACGTCAGCAGCCTGAGACTTCCATATCTTCCTTTCTGTTTATTTATACCAATTGCAGGTCTTTTTCCAGAAATGAATTTAGCTGGGGTGGCTCAGTGGTTAGAATGTAGTATTGCAGGCTAATTCTGCCAGCAGTTCGGCAGTTCGATCCTGACCGGTTCAAGGTTGACTCAGCCTTCCATCTTTCCCGAGGTCGGTAGAACGAGGACCCAGATTATTCAGAGAGCAAGATGCTGACTCTGTAAAACTACTTAGAGAGAGTTGTAAAGCACTATGGGGCATTATATAAAGTCTAAGTGATATTGCTTGTAGCAGAGGTCTTCAAACTTGGCAGCTTTAAGACTTGTGGACTTCAACTCCCAGAATTCTCCAGCCAGCTATACTGGAAGTTGAAGCCCACAAGTCTTAAAGCTGCCAAGTTTGAAGACCTCTGGTTTAGAGGGTGTGAATAAGGTTCTAGAAAGTTCATCCTTAAGATGAGCCTTGGTAGTACAGTGGTTTAAAGCACCCTGTTATTAACACAGCTGCCTGCAATTACTGCAGGTTTGAATCTCACCAGGCTCAAGGTTGACTCAGCCTTCCATCCTTTCTAAGGTAGGTTAAATGAGGACCCAGTTTGTAGGGGCAATAAGCTGACTTTGTATAAATATACAAAAGTATGAAGGCTATTGCTTAATGCATTGTAAGCCGCCCTGAGTCTCCGGAGAAGGGCGGCATATAAATCAAATTAAAAAAAAAAAAGATGGTGTAAGGTCCCAAAATATACTTGAGTCACCAGAATGCCAAAGAGAGACTCAAGACGAAGCTTGCAAAAAAAAAAAAAAGCAGATTTTATTTATGGCCAAAAACAAAATATTAGGTGGGACTATATCCAGAACATACAGATATAATGCATGCGAGGAGATAGCCACACCTTGGGGAAGGTACGGCGTCCTTAAATTTATACCCTCAGAGGCATCAGCTTAGTACCCAATTCTGGCCTCCTAGTTTAGGTTTGTGTATTCCTTGTTGCCCTGCAAAGGAATAGAAGCCTCCCAATTAGCGTTATCTTTTCCTTGAGCATTCCTTTGTTCTCCCAATTGCTCATTTGGCCTCCTGGTTCTGCAAGGAACGAGCTTATACAGATCAAAGGTGTAAATTAGGGCTGAAGTGTAAATTATCTTTTGGATGATGTCTGCAGTTCCAACTGAGATACGTACCATGCTCTTAGATGGCACAAGAAAAACAAGAAGAAGATTGATATGGATTGAGATCAAATGGCAGGAACATATGTTTGACAAATACCAGATACATTACAGAGGCCTAATAACAAAATATGTTTGTTACAGGAGATACAAATATAAAAGCATAATATATGTGAAACAAATACAAAGGCATTTATGTATTACAGGAACCCAATGGTTACAGAATCTAGTATACCAGTATATCATATTCTAGTATTATTATTATTATTATTATTATTATTATTATTATTATTATTATTATTATTTAATTTGATTTATATGCCGCCCTTCTCCGAAGACTCAGGGCGGCTTACAATGTGCTCAGCAATAGCCTTCATACTTTTGTATATTTATACAAAGTCAGCTTATTGCCCCCACAAACTGGGTCCTCATTTCACCTACCTTAGAAAGGATGGAAGGCTGAGTCAACCTTGAGCCTTGGCGAGATTCGAACCCTGCAGTAATTGCAGGCAGCTGGTCTTAATAATCAGCTTAATAACAGGGTGCCTTAAACCCCTGTACTACCAAGGCTCTTTTTTTATTTTTTTAAAAAAAATCATTGATTTTTATCCACCCTGCCTAGAACACTTCTGATATATTCTCGCACCCCTTACAAAAGTAAATAATTATTATATCCTTATTATTGTTTCCCTTCAATGGTTACAGTGTCCTGGGCTCATGGGATCTCATGGGATCTCCTTTTGTGACCCTCTGACAAGCAAAGTTAACGGGGAAAGCCAGATTCACTTAACAATCGTGTTACCAACTTCACAACTGGTGGGCTTCACTGAAAAACTGTGGCAAGGAAGGTCGTATGATGGAGCAAAAAAAATTCACTTAACAACCATTCGCTTAGGAACAGAAATTTTGGGGCTCAGTTGCGGTCATAAATCAAGGATTACCTGCATTATGTCGAGTTCTGCTACTGCTCGGTTAATACCTTCTCCGCAAAATTTATTTATATGTTTCTCCGAATCCTGGAAATGACCGCTGGAAATCTAATTCATAAGCTTATGGATGACTTATTTTTTTCTCTGTGGCAGCTGATGCAGCAGCAGACGGTCCTGTCGGCTTCCCAGGGTAGCTTTCTCAGCCCCAGCCTCACTTTCTCGCCGTGCCACATCCAGCAGATTGGCACCGTCAGCTTAAACGGCCTGCCAGCTGCTCCAATTGCACCAACCTCAGGTAGGTGGCTGTGGGGGGTTGAATCTGAAAATGGGTGGGTGAAATACTGCCTGCCAGTCCGAGGGAACCGGGCCTCACAGGTTGCATTTCATGTCATTCTTTCGATATATAACCATCCGACTCTGGTTGAGAAGACCCGAATTGGTTGCGAGGTATAAGACACACACAAACCCCTTGGAATATTGCATCAAGTTTTGGTCACCATGATATAAAAAAAGATGTTGAGGCTCTGGAAAGAGAAGAGCAGAGAAGAGCAGAGAAGAGCAACGAAGAGGATGAGGGGATTAGAGGTTAAGAAATATGAACAGAGAGAAAGAAAAGGAAGAATAAAAGGAGGGAGGGAGGGAAGTTGAAGAAAGGGAAGGAGGGTTGGGGAAGAAAGAAGAGAGAGACAGAGGAAAGGAAGGAAGGAAGGAAGGAAGGAAGGAAGGAAGGAAGGAAGGAAGGGAAAGAGAAAGGAAGGGAAGGAAGGAAAGGAAGAAGGAAGGAAGAGAAAGAAGGAAGGAAAAGAAAGAAGCAAGGAAGAGAAAGAAGGAAGGAAGGAAGAGAAAGGAAGGAAGGAAAGAAGGGAAAGAAAGAAGCAAGGAAAAGAAAGGGAGGGAGGGAGGGAAAGAAAGAAGGAAGGGAGGGAGGAAGGAAGGAAGAAAGGAAGGAAGAAGGGAAAGAAAGAAGCAAGGAAAAGAAAGAAAGGGAGGGAGGGAAAGAAAGAAGGAAGGAAGGGAGGGAGGGAAAGACAGAAGAAGGGAAAGAAAGAAGCAAGGAAGAGAAAGAAAGAAAGAAAGAAGAAAGGGAGGGAGGGAAAGAAAGAAAGAAGAAAGGGAGGGAGGGAAAGAAAGAAGAAAGGAAGAAGAAAGGAAAGGAAGGAAAGAAAGAAAGAAAGAAAGAAAGAAAGAGAAAGAAAGAAAGAAAGAAAGAAAGAAAGAAAGAAAGAAAGAAAGAAAGAAAGAAAGAAAGAAAGTTACCTCTTCCTCCTCCTGTCTTTTTTTCTCTCCCTCCTGCAGGGTTACACTCACCTCCTCTGCTGGGCACAGCTGCTGTCCCAGGACTGGTCACCCCCATCAGCAACAGCTTTGCAGGAATGGTGGCCATTCCCAGCAGCCACCCCGCCCTGGAGACGGTTTATGCAAACGGGCTGGTCCCCTGCACAGGTAGGACCAAAAAGGGGGAGGCTGCGGGCCACTTTCCCCCAGACTGGGCTCATGTAGGGCAGGGACCCTTTTACGGCATGTGGACTTCAGCTCCCAGAATTCCTGAACCTGAACTCTGAATACTGGTTCAGGGATTCTGGGAGTTGAAGTCCACACATCACAAAAGGGCCCTGAGGTAGAGGAAACTGGAGAATGACAAGTTTGTGGCTTGTGTCTTTTGCGTACAACTTTGTGCTGTGCCTATCCTGCTCCCTGCTGGAGACAGTCAGAGGGTGTGGAGCATTTTCGATTTTACGCAAGGGTGGGCTTCAAAATTTTTAGTAAGGGGCTCTCTGCCCAGTTGCTGGGTGGGTGTGGCCATGGTGGGCGTGGCCTAGTCTGCCTCCTGCACCACGGCGGGGGCGTTGCCCTCCCCGGGCTCCAGAGGCTTTTCATGAGCCTCCAGGAGGGTGAAAACGGCCTCCCCAGGCTCCGGAGGCCCTCTGGAGGCCAGAAACGGGCCGGTTTCTGGCCTTCCTGAACTTCCGGTAGGCCCGTTTTTCACCCTCCCCGAGCCTCTGCACACGCCCTGCAGTTACCTGCATCCAAAACAGGCCGCATGGGGATGCCTGGGAGGGGCAGGGTGGGGTGGGCGGGGCAGCCAAGAGTGCAGCCCACCCCTGATTTTACATCCTAAATATATTTGGAAAGGAGAAAAAAACAACGTGACGATTTTTGCTTCTTGACAGGTGAAATGGGGAAGGAGCAGCACTGAGAGTGGTGGGACCTGAGTTCTAATCTAACCCTTCAGCCTCAGAAGCTGATTGGTTGATTTGGAGCCAGCCCTTCCGTCTTAACCCAAGAGCCAATCAGGTGTAGTAAGGGAGGAGCCAGACTCGGTTCTAATCCCTCCTCAGCCTCAGAAACTCATTGGGTCATTTGGGGCCAGTCTTTCTCCCTCAGACCCAATCAGATGTGGTGGGAAGGGGCTGGACTAGGAGGGGAGAGACCTAGTTCTAATCCCCCCTTAAGCCCTCTGAAGGGCTTTGAAACAAGTCCTGTGTTTAGCATAAACTACCTCAAAGGGCTGTTGTGATGAAAAGGAAATTGGAGGAGGGAATTCTGTACAGGTGGTCCTCGACTTACAACAGTTCGATTAGCGACCGTTCAAAGTTACAACGGCTCTGAAAAAAGTGACTTATGACCATGTTTCACCTTTACGACCGTTGTATCATCTCCACGGCGATTAAAATCGTGGACATTTGGCAACTGACTCATATTTATGACGGTTGCACCATCACAGGGTCGTGTGATCCCCTGTTTCGACCTTCTGACAAGCCAAGTCAGTGGGGCAGCCAGATTCACTTAACAATTGTGGTTAAGAAAGGTCGTTAAAGGGGGCAAAACTCACTTAACGACTGTCTCGCTTAAACAACAGAAAGTTTGGGCTCAATTGTGCACGTAACTTGAGGACTGCCTGTAGCAACTTCCCTTGAGCAAAAATGAACATCACGGTGAAGTGGGGGGCAGGCCTTGGCCTTCCATTTTCCATCTTGGTTTTGTTAATATTATTTTTACTCTGCAAACATTTGACCAAACCTTTTTATGAATCAACATAACAAGTGTTGGAATTCCAAACCTGTCGGTTTGGGTTTCCTTCCCCACCCTCAATTTCCTTCTTGCTGTTCTTGTCCATTTCCCTAATCCTTGAAAAGAAACGGAAACCAAATCTTTCTTCTTTCAGCCCAAAACTCATCTGTGGCAGAGACCTTGCATCCGACTTTCACAGGTGTCCAACAATATGCAGGTAAGGTGGCTGAAGTAATCCCTTTTTCATTTTTCTCTGGCTGTAAGGTCTTTTTGGGGGGAGGGATGGATGGAAGAGGGATAAAGGGGAGTTTGGGACGACAGATTGAGAGGCAATTTGATCTAGTGGTGAAGGCAACAGGCTGGAAATCAGGAGGCGGTGAGTTCTAGTCCTACCTTAGGCGTAAAAGCCGGCTGGGTGACTTTGGGCCAATCACCAGGGCTCTATCAGTTCTAGTCCCACCTTAGTAACACAAAAAACTGGCTGAGTGACTTTGAGCCAATTACCAGGCATCTGGTAGGCAGGTAGGCAGGCAGAGATGATAGATAGATAGATAGATAGATAGATAGATAGATAGATAGATAGATATGATGATAGAAGATAGATAAATAGTTGCAGATATATACAGATAGAGGTAGATATATACTGTAGAAAAAGAGATAATAGAAGATAGATAGATGATAGAAGATAGATAAATAGATAGATAGATAGATAGATAGATAGATAGATAGATAGATAGATAGATAGATAGATATAGATGATGATAGAAGATAGATAAATAGAGTTGCAGATATATACAGAGATAGATATGTACCGTAGAAAGAAAGATGATAGGAGATAGATGATAAATAGATAGATAGATAGATAGATAGATAGATAGATAGATAGATAGATAGAGATAGATAGATGATAGAAGATAAATAGAGATGCAGATATATACAGATAGAGATAGATATGTACCGTCGAAAGAGAGATGATAGAAGATAGATGATAGATAGATAGATAGATAGATAGATAGATAGATAGATATGATGATAGAAGATAGATAAATAGAGTTGCAGATATATACAGATAGAGATAGATATATACCGTAGAAAAAGAGATAATAGAAGATAGATAGATGATAGAAGATAGATAGATAGATAGATAGATAGATAGATAGATAGATAGATAGATAGATATGATGATAGAAGATAGATAAATAGAGTTGCAGATATATACAGATAGAGATAGATATGTACCGTAGAAAGAGAGATGATAGGAGACAGATGATAAATAGATAGATAGATAGATGATAGATAGATAGATAGATGATAGAAGATAAATAGATAGATAGATAGATAGATAGATAGATAGATAGATAGATAGATAGATAGATAGATAGATAGTAGGTAGGTATATAGATAGATGATAGATTAGGGGTGCTTAGATTAGACATGAACTTTTTATCGATTTTATACGTGTTGGCATTAGTATACTACAATAAACATGTTGTAACAATAAATTCAGATGGTTTAGGGCAGTGTTTCTTAACCTCAACAATTGTGATATAGGTGGACTTCAACTCCCAGAATTCCTCACCAGCATTTTCTTCTGTCTCATGAACACAAGAATTCTGATTTGTTGATCTAACGATTACCACTAGTCCTCGGTTTACAGCCGTTTGTTTAGCAACAATTTGAAGTTACAAGGGCACTGGAAAAAAAGTGACTTACACTTACGACCGTCACAGCATCCCCCCACGGTCACATGATCAAAGTTGGCAAATTGCATGTATTTTTGACGGTGGCAGAATCCCGGGGTCACATGGTCACCATTTGTGACCTTCCCAGCCAGCCTTCTGACGAACAAAGTCAATGGGGGGGGGGAACCAGATTTGCTTAAGAACCGCATGATTCACTTAACAACTGCAGTGATTCGCTTAACAGCCATGGCAAAAAAAGGTCCCAAAATTGGGCAACTGCTTTGCAAAACAGCGCAAATTCTGTCTGATTACATATATCACAACCGCAGCAAGAATATGTTTTGCTCAACATTGGAAGGGGAAAGACCTACCGGCTGAAGATTTGATTTTGGGAAAAATTATCGAATATGCGGAAGCTGACTGGTTAACAAAAATTTTGAGAGATCAAAAGGACTCCGTATATTTTCAATGTTGGGACCAATGGTATACCTGGTTGAATAATAGATTTAAAAAAAGGATAAGGTTAGTGTAGATTTTATTTTTTATTTGTATATCTTGACTGGAGTTAATATATTGTGTAAAGCTCCTGTCGCGATCTGTGTGTGCATAAATATTTTGTTGTAAAGAAATAAATAAATTTAAAAAAAAAAAGCAAAACAGCGCGAATTCTGGTCTCAATTACGGCCTTAAGCCGAGGATTACCTGTAGGAGTCATTTTTCAATGCCTAACGACCATCTAGATCAGGGGTGTCAAAACTCGATTTCATTGAGGGTCATATCAGGGCTGTGTTTGACCTCGGGGTGGTGGGCGTGGCCAGGGTGGGCGTGGCCAGCTCAATGTCACTTGTATCAAGGGCACCCGTGATGGCCCGACCACTCTGCCAGCGAAAAACAGGCTCCCAAGCTCCATTTTCGGCTGCAACGGCCTCCTGCAACCCTCTGCCAGCAAAAACGGAGCTCAGGAGAGCTGCATGTGGCCCTCCCGAGCTCCGTTTTCGCTGGCAGAGGCACCACGGGCCAGTCCTTCACTGTTTCCAGGGTGGCCCCGTGGACCAGATCTAAGAACCCTTGAGTTTTGACACCCCTGATCTAGATAGATTTTCTCCACGCTTGAAAACCTGTAAAGATCTTCAAGAAAATTGATGATACAGCGGTCATTAATGAGCTTTATGGAGCAGAAATGGGAATTTATTCACCTCCATCTCCTTCCTTCCTTCCTTCGCAGCTGTCTATCCTGCCACCGCCATCACCCCTGTCGCACAGGCCATCCCTCAGCCTCTTCCTATAATTCAGCAGCAACAGCGAGAAGGTAGGTAGGTCTTCTCCTGCAAGGACATGGTGGGGAAACGACCCCATAATCCCTTGCGGGGTGGAGCCTGGGCAACTGAATGGAGCTAGCAGAGTGTTTACTAGCCGGATGCCCTTCCTGACGCCAATGCGGAGAATTTGTTCAGCAGATATATTCCTATTGTGCCAGAGAGAGAAATATCTGCCTCTACCTAGGATTGAACTCACAGCCTCCTGATCGTGAGGCGGGAGCTCCATCTCTAGGCCACGGCACCACTTCTATTAAAGCCCCTTATGTTGGAAGAAAAATCCGGTCGGATTCCAAGCCAGGATAAAGACGCTGAAAATAAAATGGAGGCAGGTTGCAGGAAAGGAACTCTCTGTTTATTTGGTAGCCGGAAACTAGTAACAGCAGCATGTTTCCGGGGTGGCTGACAAAATAAGGGTTGAGATAGGCGAGCTTTTATACATTCTTTGGGACTTTGTGATTGAGATGCCTGTTCCTTACAAAATGTACTTTGCTTGCGTGTGCCCTTTTTGGTGTTTTAATTATTGTTGCCTGACTCGCATTGTGTCTGGGAGGTCATGCCCTGTCCTTGGAGCTGGGTGGGGGAATTTTAGGAGTCTGTTGTGGCTCCGTTACCTGAGCCTGTGTCATCGGCAGGAGAGGACTCCGAGAGTGAAGGAGAGGAGTTGGCAAGGCCTCCCTCTCCAGGACCCTCCTCTCTGGCAAGGCCTTCGGTGTCCGCCGAAGGGCAAGAGATAGGGCCGGGGCCAAGCATGTTCACACAGCCACAGGTGGACAGTGATGAGGGTAATGAGACTTGGCTGGAACCACACCAGCGTCGCAGAGATAAGTGCGCGCAAAAGAAGAAAAGGCGTGCCCGAGATTAGGCTGAGTCACTGGACCACACCCCACAAGGTATAAAAGGGAGCGTGGTGGCCAGTCAAACCTTGTGACAAACAAAGCTGAAAGCTTCCACGCCATTCTGCATTGCCGGACTTTTGCTATAGACTTTGCTGGATTATCTTTGGACTTGATTGACTGTAATTATTGAGCTGTTTCTTTTGATGTACCAGAAGCGGGGAGAAGTTATCTCTCCTCTTCGTAAGTAATAAACTCTTGGCAAGCAGCCACTAGGTTGTTGCCAAGTTCCGTTATCATAAGGAAAAGGATTTTGCCGGCTGGTTTGGTCTTTAACTCTTGAATGCCTGTTGGTGTGTGTGCGTGTGGGACGGGGACAGAACAGAGTCTTTGTTTTTCCACTTTTAATCCCGTCAGCTTCAGACTTCTGTGGGAGCTGTAGCTGAAGACGTTTTGTTTATGAATGGAGCTGTCTGGCTTTCTGTAAATGGGTACTGAAAGGAATGGTCCAGTTTTCTCAATAGATACGAAAGTATCTCATTCATAAAACTTACCTGTTGGAAGGACCGCCTGGAGTGTTTTCCTGGTAATTTAGAGAAGTGAAGGATTTGATCCTAGGAAAGCCTCCTTTCTGGGGGATATGTGTGTGTGCGGGTGCATCAATGGTGGGATTCAGCCAGTTCTATCCAGATCGCGCAAATCGGTAGCAATGATTGCGGGAGGCTCCGCCCACCTGCCCAGACGTAATGCGCGACTACTGCGCGCACCTCCCATTTGCGAACTGGTAGGGAAGGTAAATGAACCCCACCTCTGGTGTGCGTGTGGGTGGGTGGGTGGGTGTGGTGACTTCCTACACTTACAAAACAGGAAGTCTGCCTAAGCCAGAGGGGTCTCCAAACTTGGCACCTTTAAGGCTTGTGGACTTCAACTCCCAGAATTCCTCAGCCAACATTTGCTCTTGCCCCTAGGTCTTAAAGTTGCCAAGTTTGTAGATTTGGTCTAAGCCAGGGGATCCCAACCTTTTCTATATCCCGTACCCGTAGAACAGGTGTCAGCAATCTGCGGCTCTGGAGCCGCCTGTGGCTCTTTCACCCTTTCGCTGCGGCTCCTTGTCACTCAAAATATGCGTCACAACCGCCAATGTGCGACACCCGCCGGCACACGATTTATTGAGCTTTTCAACCCCTGGTAGGCCAACCATGGATAAATCCAAGAAAAGAAAAGTTTCAGAAGAAAAGAGAACGTTTAATTCAACTACATATGCCAGTTTTGTGGCCGCTCAAGAAATAGTCAGGCACAGGAAGGGTTTTGTGGCTCCCGGTGTTTTCTTTTCTGTGGGAAACAGGTCCAAATGGCTCTTTTGAGTGTTTAAGTTTACAGACCCCTGCCCTAGAACACTTCTGATATATTCTCTCACCCCTTACAAAAATAAATAATTATAAGCATGTAATTATGCATAAAAGAACTATAATTTTGAAACTTCTAAACCCACGTTTTCGCACCGCCCTGGAATATCGTCTCGCACCCCACCAGTCTAAGCAGATGCAGCCTTCCCAATTGGTGGGATGCAATTGTAAGTTCCAGAATGACCAAGTAAAGAAGGTAATTCCTGAAATATGATATTACAGCTGTCATGTCAACATCTTCTAGGCAGTAACACAGGGATCCCTAACCCCCGGGCCACGGGCTGTGGGCCATACCGGGCTGCAGCTGTTCGAAACCGGGCCATGAGAGAAATGGGCAAGCTCCACTTGCACGAGTGGCGGGCACTTGCGCTTATGCGCAAAGCTCCGTTTCTGCGAGCAGAGAGCACCTGTTTATTTATTTTATTTTATTTATTTTTATTTTCATCAAACATGTATTTTATGACAGATACAAGTGTAAACATAATTACAAATATATGAAAAGGATACGAATAAAAGAAAACATTAGGACAGGGATGGTAGGAATGCTGGTGCGCTTATGCACGCCCCTTATAGACCTTTAAGGAATGGGGTGAGGTCTACAGTAGACGGTCTAAGGTTAAAGTTTTGGGGATTTGGGCAGGGGTGAAATGCTCCCAGTTCAGACCGGATCGCCCGATCCGGTAGCGATGGCGGCGGGTGGTTCGGAGAACCGGTAGCAAAAATCCCTGCCCCCCCCCCATGCCCTGCTGAGCTGCGCTATCATCAGAGGCTTTTTTTTTTTTACTTTTAAAAGCCTTTTTTCTACAAAATGCTTTTAAAAGCAAAAAAAAAAAAAGCCTCTGATGATTGCACGGCTCAGCTGGGTTCATCAGAGCCTTTTAAAAGCATTTTCTCTGTAACCTCTTCAGCCGAAGAGATTGTAGAAAAAATGCTTTTAAAAGATTAAAAAAAGCCTCTGACGATCCCAGCTGAGCAGTGCAATCGTCAGAGGCTTTTTTTTTTTTACTTTTAAAAGCAATGCTTTTAAAAGTAAAAAAACAGATTGCGCGCCACAGCTGATCACCCCCCTCCCTCGTGCGCTGTTCTACTTACCGCATGCCTCCTTTTGGTGTGGACTGCACGTGCGCACCTCGCATTTTGTGCGTGGTGCCCACTGCGCATGTGCAGCCAGCAAACCGGTAGTAAACTGGTTCAGATTTCACCACTGGATTTGGGGAAGAAACCAGAGTCAGGTAGTGCATTCCAGGCGTTGACAATTCTGTTACTTAAGTCATATTTTCTGCAGTCGGTATACCATGAGTTTGTATCTATTGTGTGCTCTTGGCGACACCCAAGGGGAGGGCCTTCTCTGTGGGAGCCCCAGCCCTGTGGAACGAACTGCCCCCGGAAATACGTAAGATCCCCGACCTCCGGGTATTTCGCTGTGCACTGAAGACCCTGTTGTTCCGCCAGGCCGGGCTATCGACATGATAATTTTAAATTGGGGTATTTTAAATTTCTGGGGTTTTAAATGGAGCCAAATTTATTTAATAATTTTAAATTTTAAATCGATGTTTGTCTTGTGTTTTTAAATAGGCTGTACACCGCCCTGAGTCCTTCAGGAGAAGGGCGGTATAGAAATAAAAATTATTATATTAATTATTATTATTATTATTATTATTATTATTATTATTATTGTATTGTTTTGGTTGAAGCTGAAGTATTCATTGGCTGGTAGGACATTGTAGCGGATGATTTTATGTGTGCGTAGCTGTGGCTGGAGCATCACGTGTGAGTGCCCTGTATGAGTGGAACTTTGCACATGAGCCCAAGCAGGGGTGGGATTCAGCCGGTTCGTACCAGTTCATGCGAACCGGTAGTTGTGACCTGCGGGTGAGCCAGCCCATCCACCCCGATGCTATGCCATCCTATTTAGCTGCATTTTTTAAGCCGCATGCATGTGTCCAAGTGCGCACACGAGTGAGCAAAGTGAGCGTGGATGCGCACTCACATTCTTGATGCTGGGGCGAACCGGTTCTTAAATTATGCAAAGCCCACTTCTGAGCACAAGCACCCTCAGCTCACATGTGAAGCTCCATTTGAGTGGAGGCCTCGTGTGCGCACAAATGGAGCTGTGCGCACACGTGTGTGCTTGCCACTCACACGCCCCACACCTGGCCGGGCCACCAAGTTGGAAAAATTGGGGGTTGCTGTACTAACGAGTCAATTTTGAGCTGGTTCTGTTGGGTCAGAGAATCCTTGAGAGAATCCTTGAGTAGCACTCAAAGTAAGCGAGCAGATCCTGCCATGTGATCACTGCAACTCCCAAGGGTGCTGGAAGTGATCCCAAGCTGAGCCATTATATGTCAGAAGTCCTATGGATGCAATTCCATAGTTGGGTAATGAAATGTCTTGCAAAAAAACCACCCAGTTTAGAAAGCACCAGAGACTCCCCAATCAGTGGTGGGATTCAGCCGGTTTGGGCCGGTTTGAGCGAACCGGTAGTTAAATTGCTGAATGGCCCCGCTTCACCCCTTCCCACCTCGCCCCTTCCAGAAGTCCCCACGCACCCCATTTTGGCTCCCAGGTAAGTGCAGGGAGGCCTCCTAAGCCCAAAACGTGGCACGGTGGGTGTGGTGCTCCCCCACCTCCACCCTCCCGTGGCCCGTTTTCGCCCCCCGGAGGCTGCGGGGGGGCCTACTAGGCCCAAAATGGGGCGCAGGGGGGGGTAGCATGTCCCCCCCTCTGCAGCCTGTTTTTGCTCCCCGGGGGGGTGCAGGAGGCCGAGTGCTGCCTGTCACACCCCCTGGCCACGCCCACCATGGCCATGCCCACCCAGCCAGTCATTTAACGGTTGTTAAATTATTTGAATCGCACCACTGTCCCCAATTCAACCCTGAGTTACAAATATTCTCTCTCTTTTTTGGTTCTCTATATATTTTGCAAATTCCTGTTGATTTCTTCGAAGGATTTTCTCCATAGTTAAGAATAGTTGGACGGTAAGACCCGAGATCCAGAAAGGTAGTGAATTCATGGGTTTTGGGCATCTCTGAGCAGAGGCTGGATAGACACCTGCCTCAGGTGTTTCAGTTTTTGCAGTGACCAGCAGGTTGGTCTCAGTCAGTCAGTGCCCCCTTCAAACTCCATGATGTTATGTTGTTCATAATGTAGCTGGGTTTTCAGCTACGGACCCCAAAGAACGCAGCACACACAAAGTCTGTACAAAACTTAATTTACTAAAATAACTCAGTCTTTTTCTTACAACAAAGGCTGCTAATAAACTTTCTTAACAGCCTACAAGAAACCAAAGATAAAGTAATCCCAATCTTACTAGGGTTGGCAGAAAGCCCAGAAGCAATTTGCAGAGAATCCAGACGCGAAGGAGAGTGAACTAAAGTTGTTCCCTACAAATTGCTTCAGTCGGGGTTCCTCCTTAAATAGGCTAAGGGAGTGGCCAATTAGCCCCAAGCCTTACTCTCGAGGAGACCTCCTCCTGAGGAGCCACTCCTGCCTTTTGGCAGCTCTGCGCGCCCGTGTATTGAGAAGAGGCTCCTCCTCTTCTTCCTCTTCACTTATGGGAGCTTCTGGAGGTTCTGAAGGCCCTGGCTGAATCCCCGCCTCTGGCACCACATCTTCTCCAGCCTCCTCATTGTCTGACTCAAGTGCCAGCTGCATAGGCTGCTGGCGCAACACCACACCAGCCTCCTCGCTGTCAGAATCAGCTACAATCCGCACAGGCTGCTGACGGGCCACAACACTGATGGGCAACATTTCTCCACATTTGATAATTCTTTGCTCTGGTTTGAGCTCCGAAGCGGATCTTAAAGAGCTAAGAGACAGAGAAACAAATCCGTGGTCATCTTCTCTTCTTAATGGCCAAGCAGGGATTAGAACCTAAACCTCCCAAATCCTAGATTATCTGGATTAGGTAAAACTGGAGGAGACTAGATTGTGATATAGTCTGCTGAAGGAACCAGGTTACCGTAATAAGCTACGGTATGGTTTTCTTGCTTTGGGCAGAATATATTAATGAAAGTCAGAAAGTACTGTTCGTCCAGCTTTAATACAGGGAGTCCTCGATCTGCAACAGCTCATTTAGAGACCGTACAAAGTTACAGCAACACTGCAAAAAAGTGACTTATGACCGTTTTTCACAGTCTACGACCTTTGTCTTTCATGATCGCGTGATCAAAATACAGACGCTGGGACACGGGTTCATATTTATGACCGTCGCTTGGGTCCCAAGGTCGCGCGATCCCCTTTTGCGACCTTCCGACAAGCAAAGTCCACGGGGGAGCCAGATTCACTTAACAACCTGGGTTGCTAACTCATCAATTGCAGTGACTCACTTAACGACTCTGGCGCGAAAGGTCGTAAAAGGGGGGCAGAACTCCCCTTGACAAATGTCTCACTTCACAAGAGAAATTTTGGGCTCAGTTGTGGTCGTAAGTCGAGGACTACCTGTATGTTGTGCAAAGGCAGATAATACGGACAGATAGTCCTCGATTTACAGCCGTTCACTTAATGGCCATTCAAAGTTATGACGGACCTGAAAAAAGTGATTTACAACAGGTCCTTGAATTTACAATCATTGCAGTCTCTCAGGGTTCGTATGATAACCGGCATTTATGATAGTTACAGCATCCCATAATTGCCATTTACAATCTTCCCAGGGGGCTTCCAAAAAACAAAGTCAATGGGGAAAGTCAGATTCAGTTAACGACTAAATGACTCACTTAACGACCGCAGTGATCCGCTTAATGACCATTGCAAAAAAAAGCGATAATAAATCAGGTGCAACTCACTTAACAATTTCATCACATAGTGATGGAAGTTCCGATTCCAATTGTGGTCGTAACTCGAGAACTACCTAAGTTAAAAATAGGACTGACGGTTGAAAGTTACATCAAAATATTCCCCTCTTACCTTTTCAAGTTTTGATCATTTGGGTAGCTAGGAGTTACAAAAAGTAGAACTGCAGTGACGGAACTTAGATTTTAGGGAGTGTTTTGAAGGGGGCTTTTCTTTATATTAAAAATATCCCTATACAATCATTTCGCCATCAAATTTTAACAGGTCTGTCTACAAGGTCTGGTTTAAAAAGGCAGGATAATTCCCTTTTCTTTAGTTGAAATTCTCCACCAGATCCTGTACATTAAACCAGTAATTCCCAACCTTGGCAACTTTAAGACTTGAGGACTTCAACTCCCACAATTCCTCAGGCAGACAAGTACTGATGATGTTACCTAGCTGGGTAATGAAATGAAATGTTATTTCCCCAATTTCTTTAAATTAAAAATATTCACATACTTCCATTTACCCATCGATTTTTAACAGGTCTGTCTGCAAGGTATGATTTTAAAAGGCAGCGTGATTTCTTTTTCTTTAGTTAAAATTCTCCACCATGGAAATAGATCCTGCCCATGAAACCAGTATTTCTCAACCTTGGCAACTTTAAGATAGGTGGACTTCAACTCCCAGAATGCCCCAGCCAGCCATGCTGGCTGGGGCATTCTGGGAGTTGAAGTCCACTCATCTTAAAGTTATTGAAGTTGAAAAAACAGTGGCTTAAACTATATTTTGACGCCATCTTTTCCTCTCCGGACAAAACCCACTCTGTTCCAACCAATACTCCACACTGTCTTTCCCAACCACAGGTCCAGAAGGCTGCAACCTCTTCATCTACCACCTGCCTCAAGAGTTTGGAGACAATGAACTGATGCAAATGTTTCTTCCTTTTGGGAATATCATTTCCTCCAAAGTGTTTATGGATCGGGCCACAAACCAGAGCAAATGTTTCGGTGAGTGAGCAGGGAGGGAGGGAGGGAGGGAGGGAGGAAGATGGGAGGGAGGGAGGAACAAAGGAAATGAGGGAGGGAGGGAGGAGAAGTAAGGGTGGGGAGGAGGAGGATGGGGGGAGGAGGTGGAGAAGGAAGGAGGAGGGGAAGAAGGAGAAGGGACGGAGGGAGGGAGGGAGGAAGGAAGGAAGGAAAAGGGTAGGGATGGGAGGAGGAGAAGGAGGAAGGGGGAAGAGAAGGAAGGAAGGAAGGAAGGAAGGAAGGAAGGAAGGAAGGAAGGAAGGAAAAGGGTAAGGATAGGAGGAGTAAGGGTGGGGAGAGAAGGAGGAGAAGGAAGAGGGAGGAAGAGGGGAGGGAGGGAGGAACAAAGGGAAGGAGGGAGGGAGGAAGGAAAGAAGGATTGAAGGAAGGAAGGAAGGAAGGAAGGAAGGAAGGAAAAGGGTAGGGATAGGAGGAGGAGAAGGAAGAAGGGGGAGGAGGGGAAGGAGGAAGGGGGAAGAGAAGGAAGGGAGGGAGGAAAAGGATAGGGATAGGAGGAGGAGAAGGAGGAAGGGGAAGAAGAGGAAGGAAGGAAGGAAGGAAGGAAGGAAGGAAGGAAGGAAGGAAGAATCTTCTATGTGGGACAAGTAGGAAACTGAGGAAAATAACCTTCAGGTAATGTTGAAGTGATTTGGTGGCTCAGTGGCTAAGACGCTGAGCTTGTTGATTGAAAAGTTTGGCAGTTCGGCTGTTCGAATCCCTGGTGCCGCGTAATGGGGTGAGCTCCAGTTCCTTGTCCCAGCTTCTGCCAACCTAGCAATTCGAAAGCAGGTAAAAAATGCAAGTAGAAAAATAGGGGTCACCCTTGGTGGGAAGGTAACAGCGTTCCGTGTGCCTTTGGTGTTGAGTCATGCCGGTCACATGACCACGGAGACGTCTTCGGACAGCGCTTGCTCTTCGGCTTTGAAACGGAGATGAGCACCGCCCCCTAGAGTCGGGAACGACTAGCACATACTTGCAAGGGGAACCTTTACCTTTACCTAATGTTTACCTTTGAAAACCACAATTAGTGCATATCATTAAAAAGACAGACAGTGTACTAAATATTTTGAGGTCAGAATCTCCCAGTTTTGGAATCTTAGCTCCAAAGACCATTGCAGACCAACTAGATCCCTCTGGGTGCTTTCAAGCAAGAGATGGACCCCCTAATCTCTCTTCCATCATTCTTTTACAACTGGCACAGGTAGTCCATTTATGACCGGTTGTTGTGACCTAGGCCCAAGTAGTTATTACCAGACACAATCAGTCCTAAACAAACATATTTTATTAGAACAGCTGAAAATTACTTCATTCTCAGTTTAGTCCAAATTAATTCCAAAACAAATTCTTCATAAACCCTGCACCCTGCCAAAGGCTTTTCTTGGCAAAACCCCACAAAGTTCAGAAGCAGGAGCCCCGACAAGAAACAAATGTAGCAATGTTGCTTTCCTACAAAGATCCCAAGAGCCATTGCTGTTCTTTTAAGCCTTATGGGAGAGGCCAATCATCTCCTGGCCTTACTCCTGAGTTGTCCTTTTTGCTTTAGCTGCTCTTGCCTTCTGGAAGCTCTGTGCATGCGTGCACTAGGAACAGGCTCCTCCTGTTCCTCTGCCTCTCTGCTGTCCGACTCTGGAGCTCCGGAGTCCGTGCATCACTCCCAGATGGCCCTGGCCCCATTTCTGCCTCCGATGCAGAGCCCTCATCCGGGCCTTCCCCAGACTCCAGGACTGGCCCATGGTCCACCCCAGCCTCCTCACTGTCCAACTCCGCTGCCAGCTCCCCAGGCTGCTGGCGGACCACAACATCGTTCACTTGGTTACTGTTCCAATGGATCTCCTGAGGGGCTATCTATAACCTCAATTCGAAGTTCTGATGGTCAGGCCCCTTTGGTGGCCATGTGAGCAAACTTCGGGCACTCATCAACATGGCTCCGTTTATGGCCATTTTCAGCGTCCCAAGGTCATGTGACTCTGTTTTACGACAGGCTAAGCCACACCCATAGCAAAGCATTGGTTTGCTTAACAACTGCACTGTTCACTTAACAAATACAGGTAGTCCTCGACTTACAACCGTTTGTTTATTTTATTTTATTTTATTTATTTATTTTTGAATTTGTATACTGCCCTTCTCCCTGAGGACTCAGGGCGGTGAACAGCCAAATAAAAACATCAAATACAAATATTAAAATACAGTTAAAAAATATATATATAAATTTGGCCCCATTAATTAAAACAATAAACAAAATAATTAAAAACACTTAAAAAGAATTAGGCCAGCCCGGCTTGTTGGAAAAGGAAGGTTTTAAGGGCACGGCGGAAGGCACTGAGGTCATGGATTCTCCTTATCTCAGGGGGCAATTGATTCCAGAGGGTGGGAGCCCCCACAGAGAAGGCCCTCCCCCTGGGGGTCACCAGCCTGCACTGTTTGGCTGATGGCACCCCGAGGAGGCCCTCTCTGTGGGAGCGCACGGGTCGATGGGAGGTCGTCGGTGGCAGCAGGTGGTCTCGGAGATAGCTAGGCCCTATGCCATGGAGCGCTTTAGAGGTGATAACCAACACCTTGAAGCGCACCCGGAAGACCACTGGGAGCCAGTGCAGCTCGCGCAGGAGCGGTGTTACATGGGAGCGCCATGCTGCTCCCGTCACTACCCGCGCTGCTGCGTTCTGGACCAGTTGGAGCCTCCGGGTGCTCTTCAAGGGGAGCCCCATGTAGAGAGCGTTGCAGTAATCAAGGCGAGAGGTCACGAGGGCATGAGTGACTGTGCACAGGGAATCCCGATCAAGAAAGGGCCGCAACTGGCGGATCAGGCAAACCTGATAAAAGGTCCCCCTGGTTACAGCCGTCAGATGTTCCTCCAAGGACAGCTGCGTATCCAGGAGGACTCCCAGATTGCGAGCCCTCTCTGTGGGGGCCAAAGACTCGCCCCCAATAGTCAGTGATGGAGTCAACTGACTATATCGGGATGCCGGGAACCACAGCCACTCAGTCTTGAAAGGGTTGAGCTTGAGCCTGTTCCTCCCCATCCAGATCCGTACAGCCTCCAGGCACTGGGACATCACTTCAAGGGCATCATTGGGGTGGCCTGCGGTGGAGATGTACAGCTGAGTATCATCAGCGTACTGATGGTATCTCACCCCAAAGCCACGGATGATCTCGCCCAGCGGCTTCACATAAATGTTGAACAGGAGGGGCGAGAGGACCGACCCCTGAGGCACTCCACATATAAGAGGCCTCGAGGTCGACCTCTGCCCCCCTGCCAACACGAACTGCGACCGGTCGGAGAGAAAGGAGGAGAACCACCGTAACACGGTGCCCCCCATCCCCAACTCTTCCAACCGGTGCAGCATGATACCATGGTCGATGGTATCAAAAGCCGCTGAGAGGTCTAACAGGACCAGAACAGAGGAGCAACCCCTGTCCCGAGCCCTCCAGAGATCATCAACAAACGCGACCAATGCCGTTTCCGTGCTGTGCCCAGGCCTGAAACCAGACTGGAACGGATCCAGATAGGATGTTTCCTCCAGGAATTGCGGAAACTGTCGCACGACCACACTCTCAACAACCTTCGCCAGAAAGCGAAGGTTGGAGACAGGACGATAGTTAGCCAATATTGCCGGATCCAGGGACGGCTTCTTGAGGAGAGGCCTCACCACCGCCTCTTTCAAGGCCGCGGGGAAGTGACCCTCACTCAATGAAGCGTTGATAACACCCTGGAGCCAGCCTCGTGTAACCTCCCGGGAGGCCAGTACCAACCAGGAGGTACACGGGTCCAATAAACATGTGGCCGCACTAAGTCTCCCCAAAATCCTGTCCACATCATCGGGAGTCACAGCATCAAACTCCTCCCAGATAACATTCTCAAGACTATTCCTCGTCACCCTGCCCTGATCTACCCAGTCAGAGTCCAAGTCCCCCCGGATCTGAGCGATTTTGTCATACAGGTATTGTCCGAAATCCTCCGCCCTGCCTTCCAAGGGATCCTCCCGCGCTCCCAGATGGAGCAGGGAGCGGGTTACCCTGAACAGGGTTGCCGGATGATTCCCTGATGACGCAATAGAGGCGGAAAAGTAATTACACTTTGCCGTCTTTATCGCCGCTAGGTAGGTCTTAATATGCGACCTTACCAGTGTTCGGTCAGATTCAGCGCGACTGGCCCTCCAACCGCTCTCTAGGCGTCTTTTCCGGCGTTTCATCTCCCTCAGCTCCTCGGTGAACCAAGGAGCCGTGAGGGATTGACAGCGGGTCAGAGGCCGCAAAGGCACGACTCGATCCAAGGCCCCACCAGCCGCCCGATCCCAGGCAGCTACCAGGTCCTCGGCCGAGTCGTGTGCCAGATCATCAGGAATTGGCCCAAGCTCCATCTGGAACCTATCAGGATCCATCAGGCGCCTGGGGCGGACCCATCTAATTGGGACCGCCTCCCTGCGGCGGGGTGTAGCGGTACGAAGGTCCAGACGAAGGAGTGAGTGATCTGACCATGACAAGGGTTCCATGTCTATATCCCCTATAACAAGATCACTCAACCACTGGCCAGAGACAAAAATCAAGTCTAGAGTGTGTCCCCCCCCGTGAGTGGGGCCATGAACTAACTGGGTCAGGTCCATGGCCGTCATGGAAGCCATGAACTCCCGAGCCATCCCAGACATTTCACCAACGGATGGCAAGTTGAAATCACCCATGACCATAAACCCAGACCATTTAGTGACTGTTTGAACTCATCACGGCATTGAAAAAAGTGACTTAGGACCATTTTTCACGCTTACGACCGTTGCAGCATCCACATGGCCATGGGGCACTTGGCAACTGATTCATATTTATGACGGTCGCAGTATCCCAGGGTCACGTGATCCCCTTTTGCGACCTTCTGACAAGCAAAGTCAACGGGGAAACCAGATTCACTTAACAACTGTGTTACTCACTTAACAACTGCAGGGATTCACTTAACAACTAAGAAAGTTCGTAAAAAGGGGGAAAACTCACTTAACAATTGTCTTGCCGCTTAGCAATGGAAATGTTGGCTTCGATTGTGGTCGTAAGTCGAGGACTACCTGTAGCACAAAAAAGGTTGTAAAATCAAGTCAGTCATGTATCTGACCTGTTTTACCACTGTCACGAGTTTCAACCGGCTGCATTATGGTCGTAACTTGAGGAATAGCTTTTCCTGCAAACTGTCAGCACTTCAAGCTGCATTTACTCTAAGAAGGAGAAGCGAAGGCGTCTGGAAAGGGACGTTTGACTTTTCACCTACTTATTTTCCCTGGAGATAATATCCCCTAGGAGATGGGATGGGAGGGGGGAAATTCCTTTGAGCTGGAGTAGATTAGGGGTAGAATGACTTGGAAGATGGCCAATGAGTGCAGAGGAGTGGGGAACGGAAAGGGAGGGTTTTGGGGCTGGAAGTCAGTGTTGGTTTCGATGGAGTCGGGTTTAGAATGCCGTGCTTAATAAATAGGAGTTTTTCTTCAAAGACTTTGTTTGAAATGCAATTTATTTGAGACGACCTCGAAACTTGACACAAACACCCGGAGACACACACGGGGTATTGTTAAATGGATCCTTTCTTTCCTTCCTCAAGGCTTTGTGAGTTTCGACAATCCCTCCAGTGCCCAAACCGCCATCCAGGCCATGAACGGATTCCAGATCGGGATGAAAAGGCTAAAGGTCCAGTTGAAACGGCCAAAGGATGCCGGCCAGCCCTACTGACAGGTGATTGGGGGCGGAGGGGAGAGACGAGGAAACCGATGGTCTCTCAGGTAAAACGAGGCGCTTGAATGGCTTGACAAATCTGCCGGAAATTATTTTCCTGCTTCTAACACGGTGTTGTTCAATCTTGCCAATTTTAAGATATATGGACTCCATTTCCCAGAATTCCCCAGCTAGCATGCATGGACTTCAACTCCCAGAATCCCCCACCCGACAATCATGGATTTCGACTCCCAGAATCCATTAATAATCTTTCCTTTTACATAGATCACAGTTGGCTTCTTAAGCTATGCATAACCAGCATTTTGATCCAATAGTTATGTTTCTCAAGCTTGGCTACTTTAAAATACCGTATTTTTCAGACTATAAGACGCTCCGGACTATAAGATGCGCCTAAATTTACAGGAGGAAAACAAGAAAAAAATAGTTTTTGGCCTCCGCACGTTGGATTTTCACCTTCTCAATCCCCCAGAAGCACTCTTCAGTGCTCCGCATAACCCATTTTCGCCAAAAATGGACCCATTTTCACCAAAAAGGTACCCGTTTTTGGCCTGCAGAGTGCTTCTGGGGGCCGAGGAGGGCGAAAACATCCATATTCGGTCTATAAGGCACATCTAAATTTTCAGCCATTTTTAGGGGGGGTGGGGGGAAAGGTGTGTCTTATACTCCGAAAATCACAGTATGTGGACTTCTATTCCCAGAATTCCCCAGACAGCCATGCTGGAAGTTAGTCCATATATCTTAAAGTGGCCACAGTTGAAAAACAATGACAGATTTTCTTCATGTCTTTAGTTATTATAATTATCTATAGCACATGCTGGCCGGGGAATTCTGGAAGTTGAAGACTACATATCTTAAAGTTACCAAGGATGACAAACACTGATTTATATACCATTCTAATATTATAACCAGGGTCCAAGGCCGAGTCCGGTTTTAGGATGGCGAGAATAAAAGAAACTGAAACGTTGTACAAAATTGCAAATAAGTGTGACTAAAAGAGCATCAATGGGTTTGCGGTTCTTGATTGAAGATGGCAAAGTGTGTTTTGAGCTTCTCAAGAAACTCAACTGTGTTAATGGAGCCTATTTTTGTCTTCATTTTCTTTGTGCGTGTTGTGATTTCACACATCGCAATCCTGGTTTTCCTTTAAATTGTCTTGATTTCTGAAGATGAAATTGTCCAAGTACTGCTGCTTTCTTTTCACGGAGTAACTGCTTCTGATCAGGGAATTTCATATAAGGTTTTCAGTTCCATTCTCCGCCCATCGTCCTTCCTTCCTTCCTTCCAAACTACACATTTCCTTCCTTCCTTCCTTCCTTCCTTCCTTCCTTCCTTCCTTCCTTCCTTCCTTCCTTCCTTCCTTTCTTCTTTCCTTCCTTCCTTCCTCCTTCCCTCCCTCCCTCTCTTCTCCTTTTCTCATTCGTTCCTTCCCTCCATCCATCCATCCCCCTCCCTCTCTCCTTCCTTTCCTCCCTCTCTTTTCCTTCTCCTTTCCTTCCTACCCTCTCTCAACTAGCAGAATAACAGTTGGAAGGGACCTTGGAGGTCTTCTAGTCCAACCCCATGCTCAGGCAGCAAACGGTTGTCCAATCTCATCTTAAAAACCTTCAGTGTCGGTCGGAGCACCCACAAGTTCTGGAGGCAAGTCGTTCCGCTGTTTAATTGTTCAAGAAGAAACAGATGGAAACTTACCAAAAAGGGATCCAACCTAAAACTAAAGAGAACCTTCCTAACCGTGAGAACAATTAACCAGTGGAACCAGTGGTGGGATGCTGCTGGTTTAACAACCGATTCGGTGAGTGCGCGCGCATGCTTAAAGCGCTTGCGCGCAGCGCTGAAAATGGAGCATTTAGAAGCTCAGCTGCTTACCTTCCAAGTCAGCAACGGTAAGTAGAACAGCGAGGGGGGGAGGAATCAGCTGTGCTACGCGATTGAGATGAGCTACAAAACAGGAAATAAAGGACAGGATAGAGCGGGGGCGGTGGGCGGGGCCAACTGATCGTCGGCGCTACTGGTTCTCCCTAAATTATTTATTTATTTATTTAATTTGTATCCCGCCCTTCTCCAACAGGACTCAGGGCGGTGAACAGCCGTGGTAAAACATAACATATAAAATTTAAAAGCAATTTAAAAAACATTAAATAATTTTGGCTACCCATTTAAAACAACCCGGATTAAAATCAATTACAAATTAAAACCGAAGGGATGGGATCAAGCCAGCCCGGCTAGGTGAAAAAGATGTGTTTTCAGGGCCCGACGAAAAGTCCGGAGGTCTGGTATCGTGCGTATCTCTGGGGGTAGGTCGTTCCAGAGGGCAGGTGCCGCCACAGAGAAGGCTCTCCCCCTGGGGGTCGCCAGCCGACATTGTCTGGCCGACGGCACCCTGAGGAGTTCGAAATGGTCCGAACTGGCTGAATACCACCTCTTGAGCGGAACGGTTTGCCTCAAGAAGTTGTGGGTGCTCCATCACTGTGAGATTTTCAAAAAGAGATTGGACAGACATTTATCCGGGATGCAACACGGTCTCCTGCCCGAGCAGGGGGTTGGACTAGAAGATCGCCAAGGTCCCTTCCATCCCTACACGTCTATGGTTCCTATGAAAAGGTTGCATTGAACGGTGGCGGCGTTGAGCTTCCGACCCTTAATCCTTCTTTCCTCTTCTTCTTTTCCAGGAATCTGAGCCTTGAGCCCCTTCCTCTGTCTTGATTGCAAGAAGAACTTTCAAAAGTTGCTTCTCCTCTTCTTTGTGCCAACGGGTGGGATGGGGAGGGCTGGGTGGGGAGGGAGGGAGGGAGGGAGAGAGGGAGGGTGAAAAAAAAAAACAAAACACCACGGCCAGCATCTACTGGGGGGAAATAGATGTTAACCAACCCACAGGGGGTTTGAATACAGGGTCTCTCATGCCACATTGCAAAAGGGATGCTCCCCCTTCGGGAGCGAAGCCTCTGGACCAATCGAAATCTTTAGCTGGACCAACCGGAGCAGTCTTTGAATGCCAGCCTATTAATTTAAAAGAGATGTACATAGGAATAGAAAGAGTATATCTATACATATATAGCATATATAAATATATATTACAGGCGCTCTATTTTTTTTAAACCTTGGAAACGAGAAAAAAAGAAAAAAAAAAGAAAACACCGGGACCAAACTTTTAATTTTTTTTGTTTTTGTTTTTAAATCTTCAGCTGCCAGCTGAGGACCGATAGAAACGGGACTAGGGGTTTTTAACGCTCAGCCTTTGCACAACCTCGAGGCTGGCCTGCTCTTGGAAAAAAAAAAAAAAAAGAAATAGGGGAAAGAAAGGGGGAAAAAAAGGAGATTTCTGCAGCTTCTTCAGAACGGAAGGGGGGAAAAATCTCCCTGACAATTTTTTTTTCCCCCAACCCTGGCATCGTACCAGGAGCCGGGACACGGTTAAAGGTGGCATCGCTTGTTCTCTGTCGAAATGAAAAAAAAACAAAAACAAAAAACAAGCAAACAAACTGGAGAAGGATGCCCGGCATTGTCGTCTTCGAAAGTTTCCAGACAGGAAGAAAGTGCCTTTGCGGCAGCACAAAAAAACAAAAAAAAAATTAAAAAAAAAAAAACAGGCTCCGTTTTTCTCCGTAGCCAAATATTCCTGACCAAAATGGAGGGCTAACCGCGAAACTCAGCGTGCTCAGATAAAAAACAACAACAACCCAACACCTGTCTCTCAAAAGACTCCTAACACTGCCTCGAGGAACGGGCGCTGAACTCTGAGGGGACTGTCCCGCAGACCGGCCGATGTTTTGGGGGGGGGAGCGCCGGCTCCTTGAATCCGAGAAGATGGGGCTAGGCTCCGTAGGGGCCCGCCGCGCGCCACTTCTGCACTTCGCCGCAGGAGTCCACAGTATGCAACCGATGTGATCTCTGTACGTATGTATCTATCTATCCACGCCACACAGCATAAAGACTTTGCACAGGTTCATTAGAGACGGATGACCCAAGTGACGGAAACCCGATTCCCTTCCCCATGTTCCACTGCATTTTAAGTGCACATTGCACCTTCCTTCTGTTCCCTTCTGGCTCCACTCACCCTTTCCCAAATTTCTCTGATTTTTCGTTGTTGTTTTTACTCTTCATTCCAAACCACCACCAGTACCATCCCACCCTTTCTGTCAAGATCTCCAACCAAGCTCACTTTGGGGATGTGTGCAAGCAGCTAGATCTCAAAGAGGCCTTCCTCCTTTTCCAGCTACCATAGAGGTAGAGTCAGTGGTGGGCTGCAACCAGTTTAACAACTGGTTCTGTGAGCGCAGCGTTCAAAATACAGCAATTTGAAGCTCAGCTGCTTACTTTCTAAGGCAGCCCCGGTAAGTAGAACAGCAGAGAACAGCAGAGTACAACAGCTGATTTTTGGACGGAACAGCTGATTTCTGCGGAAATCAGCTGTTCCGTCCAAAAATCAGCTGTTCTGTGCGAATCAGATGGATGCAGAAAAAAAGGAAATATAGGACAGGATAGGTCAAGGGCGGGTGGACGGGGCCAGCTAATCATCGCAACTACCGGTTCACACGAATCGATCCAAACCGGCAGCAGCCCACCCCTGGGTAGAGTGCCTCTGGCATGGAGGTTCTGTTTAGTAAGCAGGCCCGAGAGCTGTGAACACTCCTTCCCCATAATTAGGTCTCAATCCGTTTTTGTTTTTTGTTTTTTTAAGCAAACAAAATTCTGGAGTCCTTTTCTTTATTTATTTTTTTTAAAAAACTGTTGAGATTTAAGATCTGTGTCTTAAATTTAATTGTGCAGTGGGACCAACTTAAAATGCTCAGCTGAACTACACAAAGCAATGTTTTTCAAACCTTAGCAACTTTAAGATGTGTGGACTTCAACTCCCAGAGTTGATTCTGGGAGTTGATTGTCCACGAAAGGTGGCTGGAGAATTCTGGGAGTTGAAGTCCACAAATGCTGGCTGGGGAATTCTGGAAGTTGACATTCACAAATGCTATCTGAAGAATTGTGGGAGTCCACAAATGCTGGCTGGGGAATTCTGGGAGTGGAAGTCCACCCCATCCTAAAGTTGCTGAGGTTGAAAAACACCGACATGAAGAATGGAGGACATGAGAGGAACGGATGAAATGTTAATTCTTTTTTATCCACACTGCCTCTCCTAAGGGTTTTCCCATCCTGTCCCATCTCTAAGCCTGCATTTTTCCATCGCCTGTTTCCCTCTGTGCTGGAGAGACCCACCTTCCCTCTTCCTTGCTCTCCCTCCCTGTCCACTTTCTCATTCCCCCAGACGAGTTTCAGATGTAAAGCACATTCAAAGCAGAGCTTAGCGTCTACGGTACCGCAGCAGGTCCCACCTGACCTTCCAAGGGGAGCCATTTTGACCAAAAAAAAAAATGTTTCTCTTTTCTTCCTTTCTGTTGGTTTTTTTTTTTTTTAATGGCTACACATGGATCTTCTCTTGAGCTGGTGTGAATAATGCCAGCACCGAACTATATACTTAAGACATTCCTGTTCTATTGTGTGTGTATATGTGTGCTTGGGAGGATGTTTGTGTGAACGATGGTGTTGTCACTGAAGATGTAAAGCCGGGATGAGGAATTATATCCCTTTGATGACTTGTGGACTTCAACTCCCAGAATTCTCCTGAGCCAGCCATGCTGGCTGGCTCAGGAGAATTCTGGGAGTTGAAGTCCACAAGTCATCAAAGGGACATAATTTCCCACCTCTTGAGAGTAAGCAACATCCGAACGCTCGGAGCATCTCCACGGAGAGCAAAGCATCTTTGGAAAACAATCGGAATTTCCATTCAGATTTTGTGTCTGATGGGCTAACTTGCAGTGGTTCTCCGGGGTCTGGTTGTCGGTGAGGGTTTCACTTCCAAGATTTCGTTTTGGGACACGAGCGAATTCAGGAGAGGAGCCCCTAATCCTTGATAGTCCCTAATCCTTAGTGCTAAAACTCTGACGTTTATCTCTTAAAGAGTGGGGGGGTCCTGAATGATGAAAATGTACAAGTCACCCCCGACGTAACAACCGTCCGTTTAGTGGACCGTTCGAAGTTGCGACGGCGTTGAAAAGAGGGACTTATTTTTTTTTATATGTAAACAAATTTTATTAAAATTTTTCTTTCATCATACATATTTTATGAACAGAATGTTGGTCACATTTTATATATTTTATATATATTAATTAATCTTTTAAATATATTCTATTCTTCTCATTTTTTCCATATTCCTCTCTTTCATATAGTTCTTTATCACAAATTAATAATTTTTCACCATATCTTGTTATTTCAACTTCTGCCATATTTGTCTTTTTTTCCCCCCAAGTCCATTTTATACATTTCCAATTTTAGCCATAATATTCTTTTTCCATACTTCTTTGTCTTATCTTAATTTCTTCTTAGTACATAATGCATAAACAGTATCACTATCCACCCTTAATTCCTAATGTCTTACAATAACATCAATTAATTATCTTATTTTTCCATTACAGAATATATTTCTCAAAATCCCCATTCCACTTTTTAACATTTCAACTTTGTCTCTTGATTAAAATTGTCTTCAAAATTAAGACAAATTACTTTTTCACATTTCATCATCATATTCAAATTTTACATTAAAACTCTTTAACTTAATTGATCATCCAAAATTAATAATATTAATACAGTTTCCCTTAAATCTACTAATATTTACCATATTTCCACTGATCTTCCCTTCTTTAACCATTTTCTCTTGGTCTCTCCAAAATTCCACTTGATAATTTTCTCCTTTTATCCCATTGTCTTAACTTCTTTTTCTTTTTTGTTTTTGTTTTTATATTTATTATATATTTTCTTCTGACTCCTTTTTCTCACTTTTAGATATATTATTCGAATAGTTCTCCCCAAGTTTTCTCCTAATCTCTTTCCACTATTTCCCTTACCCTTTGATTGATTCTTTTTTGGGGGATGTTCCCCCCATCCACTCTTTTTTTGCCACTGTAAATCCCAGTGAAATAATCTAACTGCTTTTTTGCATTCAATTCTTTCCTTCAATATTATTTTCTTGCTCCCCATGTATGCTCTCTTCTACCACCTTCTCCCCTATTTCCTCTTCTGTGTGTAACAGCAACATTTCTGACTTTTTATTACCCTTTAGTGAGTCACACATATTTTTAAACATCTCAATTAATTCCTCACACATCCAAGACTCCATATTGCCAATTTAAGAAAGTGTTAAAACTTTTAAATTATGTCACGTTTAATTAAAATTTAAAATCTATATAGTCTCTTTTTGTTTTCAAATAATGTCCAATTTAAGTATTTATCCAGTCCACTCCAAGTTAAAGATTTATTATCTTCCACAGCCATTGAGAATCGAGACCAAGCAATGTAGAAAGACAGATACTGCTTAAAAGTTCTCACAGTTTCCAAATTATCTTTTAGTAGTCAAGATCACAGCTGTACTTTCTCTTCTTTCTTCCAGTAAGTATTGCTGTACTGTCTTTCAGCCAGCAGATGTCTCTCTCAAATCCACAATATTTTCAAACCAACTAAATGTCAAAGCTGTCAAAAATATTTAAATCCACATAAAAAATACTTTTTCTCGGGTTCTTTTCTTTTACTATTTTTAGTTTCTCCAAATCCAATTATAGATGCAAAAACTTTCTTGGGCTTTAGTATTTTAGCCTCCTCTTTGTTCTTCTCCCTCCATAGAATTTCCCCAAATGCCAATTAGCTGCTCATTTCAGCTCCGGGACACCTTTTAATCCAATTTGAAATTTTCTTTTACCTGTGAGTTGGCCAATCGCTCACCCGGTACCAGCATTCCGTTCAAACAACGCTCCTGCACAAAAACTTAGTCCGGTTGCCCCAGCTTCAGAGCGGTCATTTTACAACGGCTGCCACCCCCGCTGCCGGTTTGAAGAGCTGCTTCCGACCTTTCAAGGAACTTACCTGTTCCTCTTGGTCTTCCGAGATGCCTCTCCTTCTTCACCATCCCTACAGGATGGTTCCGGTCCTAAGACTCCCTGACAGCGGTTTGTCCGGCTGGATTTTTGCGGAGCTCGTTGGAGCCTGCTATTTTTCCAGCCAGTCTCGCCACGATGCTTCCGGTCTCCACTTATGACTGTTTTTCAGACTTACGACCATTGCAGCATCACATGATCAAAATTTGGGTGCTTGATGGTTGACTCATGACAGTTGCAGTGTCCTGGGTCCTGGGATCACCTTTTACGACCTTCTGAGAAGCAATGGGGAAGTCAGAAAACAACTTCTTTTCAACAACAGCTGCAGTGACTCCCTTAACAACTGGGGCAAAAAAGGTCATAAAATCAGCCAAAACTCACTTAACAAGAGAGAAGCAACCTAGAACTAAGGAGAAATTTCCTGACAGTGAGAACTATCAATCATTGGAACGGCTTGCCTCCAGAAGTTGTGGGTGCGCCAACACCAGAAGTTTTTAAGAAGAGGTGGGACAACCATTTGTCTGAAATGCTTGAGCAGGGGGTTGGAGTAGAAGACCTCCAAGGCCCCTTTCAACTCTGTTATTCTGGAGTTCTGTTACATACGGGCTTGGGAGAATTTGAGTGATGTGAAATTACTTCTGAGTAGATAACGCTTGTATTAATATAGCTGGATCTATCAAAATCATTCAGTGGGGTTTCTGGGGTTCTCTGAGCTTAGTAGTTTTCAGGCAGACGTTTCATTACCCAGCTAGGTAATATCATCAATGCAGATAGATAGATAGATAGATAGATAGATAGATAGATAGATAGATAGATAGATAGATAGACACATGAATGATTCAATTCCTATGGATCAACGTAAAAGTCAAAATGTTGATCACGCTGTAATAGCAATGAAGTACCTTGGATTTGCAAAATGGGGAAAAAAATGGCAATGCTCATTCAAAATATGTGCCAGTTAAAAAATCCTAACGGCAGTTAAATTTTATTCTGTTCATGCAAAAAAAAATTGTGCGGTTGTAATTTACCGAGGTGTAGGAATCCAGCTTGGTGGTTTGTAATCCCATCATTTCTAGCTTAGTGAGCTGTTTGGATTCAACAGATTGCGACTAATTCTTTAAACCACGATTCAACCACCATAGGAGCAGCTTACCGTATTGCCCAAACCTGGGTTTTGCTGAAGGAAATGCTGTCTAGTGTCACGAGAAAAATAGCTGATGGCTTCTGTGCACCCTAACAAAGGAAATTCCCGAACGGGTTAAAATCTCCCAAGCGGCTAGATCTCAGTGAGAACGCCCCACTGCAAGTCAGTACACCCACCAGCTCCGTGATATCTGTTTACCGATCCAACCGGAGGCGAATGAAGTGTCTTATTTGGCCGTTCAGTTTTTTGCAGACATGCAAACGGGAGCGAGAGAGGTTGTGTGAATGAATGACGTGTGGGATTGTTTGTTGCGTTCCGTTTCTTTCTTCCCTGAAGTCCACGTTTACAGTTGTAAATACAGGTCTTTTATACTTAACCGTCAATTCCGTACGTGATTTGTACAATGTCGTTCTATTCTGCTATGGAGTACTTTCATGATGGCCGAACTTTTAATTTTGAATTTAAGAATAAATAAATAAATAAATCTATATCTATATACCCAACCTATGACTCCCCACTTCCCCCCCGTTGCTGACTTGAAAAGGACATTTCAAACACGGTCGGAGAAAACGAAGAGGAAAAATAAGCACATGTTGAAATGAGGTATTTCCCCGGCCCTCCCTTTCTCTTCCTGCTTCCATTTTAAGTTATCAACTGCCATGGTTTCAAATATTTGCAGGTGGCAATCTTTCCAGAATTCATCTGGCGTCCAGCTTCTTGCTGTGGTCTTAACAATCTGATGACTTTTATTGAAATAAAGTGGAAATTATTTGAATAAATCCAGACTGGGAAAAACTTTTTTCTTTGCTTCGATTTTAAACTCTCTGCCCTCACTGGCATTTAGCATAAGGTTTTTTTTTTCAGTTTTCCATTAATCCGTGGAACAGCTTGCCACCAGAAGTTGTGGGTGCTCCCAACACTGGAGGGTTTTTTAAAAAGGACAGACTGGACAACCATTTGTCTGCAGTGGTGTAGGGTCTCCTGCTTGAGCTGGGGGTTGGACTAGAAGGCCTCCAAGGTCCCTTCCAACTCTGTTATTCTGAAATAAGTCTTAAAGTTGCCAAAGTTGGACACCCCCAGAAATGAAAACTGTTTGAAGTTACGACTGATCCAAGAAAAGGGAACCAGATTCAAATTTTGACAGTTGGGCCACTCTGGTGGTCAGGTGACTGAACATTGGTCGCTTGGCAACAAGGCCATATTTGCCACCATTTGCTACGTCCCAAGGTCACATGATCAGATTTTACAACGGTTTTTTCTGAAAACGAACATTTATTTCTAGTTTTTGGAAAAATTGCACCCGTAGAGAATCAATAGTTTACTTAATGACCCTGGTGTTCATTTAATGGCCATGACAAAAACTGTCATAAAATCAGTCAGTCACATGATAGACCTGTTTTACATGCAACCATAATAAGCAAACTCTATTATGGTCATAGGTCAAGGGTTACCTGTACAGATAGTCCTCGACTTACAATTATTTGTTTAGTGACTGTTTGAAGTTACAGTGGCACTGACAAAAGTGACTTATAACCGTTTTTCACACTTACGACCATTGCAACATCCTCATGGTCACATGATCAAAATTCAGACACTTGACAACTAACTCATATTTATGACGGTTGCAGTGTCCCGGGGTCATGTGATCCCCTTTTGCAACCTTCTGACAAGCAAAGTCAATGGGGGAAGCAATGATTCGCTTAACGACCTCACGATTCAGTTAACAACTGTGGCAAAAGAGGCCATAAAATGAGGCACAACTCACTTAACAGCTGCCTTGCTTAGCAACAGAAGTTTTGGGCTCAGTTGTGGTCATAAATTGAGGACTACCTGTATGCAAGAACCTGGCTGTGCCCTCATCACTTTTACAGGAATTTAATAAGATTCATTGATTAACTGAATCTATATGTGATTTATTAAATGAGATTTATTCATTAACTAAACCAGTTTAATTAAGTTACAGAAACAGTCATAAACATACATAACTCTTATATATATATGATTTATATAGATTTATATAGGACTACCTATATTTACAGAAGAATTTGCAGGCCACAGGTAGTCCTCGACATACAACTATTTGTTTAACAACCATTTAAAGGTATAACGCTACTGACTTACAACTGGTACTGGCAGTTACAATTGCTGGAACATCCCATAGTCACATGACCAAAAATTGGGCACTTGGCCACCAGCATATATTTACATCCATATGGTTCAGTTAACAACGGCAGGGATTCGCTTAGTAACTATGGCAGAAAAAGTCGTAAAATCAGATGTGACTCACTTAACAACCAGCTTGCTTAGTAACAGAAAGGAAAGGTCTGTTGGAATTTTTAAAACTCGGAAGGAGTTCTAAGAGAAAAACATATGAGAAACATTGTTTTAGATAAAAGTTAATGGGGGTTGCTCTGCTTCAGACCGTTGTAGAAAGAAAAAGACTTCTTTCGGCTTTCTGTGCGGCTTTCCATGCAGGCCCGAGGCCACCATCTTACCTTTTTTGATCTTTGCTGCTGAAATGGAGCCTGAGCACGCTTCAGTAAGGTGGAAAGCGGGAATTAGGAGAGAGCGACAGCATTGAAAAGATGCTTAAAGGGTGCAAAATGTTACTCGTTGAAGGGAACTAAACGTTGCATGGTGTAAACCTGGCAAGCAAACTAAGCATGAATGCCATCTGATGGTCTAGCTGAGGGGTCTCCTCCAACCTTGGCAACTTTAAGCCTGGAGGACTTCAACTCCCAGAATTCCCCAGCCAGCAAAGCTGGCTGGGGAATTCTGGGAGTTGAAGTCCTCCAGGCTTAAAGTTGTCAAGATTGGAGACCCCTGATCTAGCTCACCCATGCTAAGACAGGCAGGCTTCCCACGACTCACTAAACCCCCCAACCAACCTAACCCAGGTTTAGCGCGTGGGTATGAATGAATGAACCAAGCCACGTTCCTTAAAAGAGCCAACAATGCAGTTTGTAGAGACTGCGCTCCCGGGCGCCTGGTTGGGGAGGCCAGGCGAGGCGAGGCGCCGGCAATTTCCCCCCCTCCCCACCAGCGTTGCCTCGGCAACCCCAAGCGGTTTCCGCGTCATCCCGCCTGGCCATTCAGCCTACAATTCCCGAAAGGTCCCGCGAGAGGAGGGCGGTCCCTGGCAGGAAACGGCGCGGCCGGGCGCAGGGCTGCCCTTGGAAGAGGCATCGCTCCGTCATGGCGCCCCGCACATTCCCTTTGCTCAAGTGAGTCGGGCGGGCTTAAAAGACGGTTTTTGTAACGGCAGAGAAGGGGGCAACGGGGGGGGGACGCGGAAGGCGGGGGGGGGAGAGAGAAGAGTCGCGAGACGGGACCCCCCCTCTCCCCAGCTTCGGGTCTCGGAGATTCCCCCGATCTGGAAGCCCTTAGTTCGGTTGAGAGCCCCTCCCTGCAGCTTGCCCTCCCCATCATCTCATGTCATAACTATATTTTTTTTGCAGAAATGCAGATTCGTTTTATTTAGAAATGCATGAAAGCTTTGCAAGGGATTCTCAAGATATTCCTGGTGTAGGATGGTATAGTAATATTAATAATAATAGTAATAGGAGAGAACCTTGGAGGTCTTCTAGTCCAGCCCAGGATAGAATGGTATATAGCAGTGTTTCTCAACCTTGGAAGCTTGAAGATGGGTGGACTTCAACTCCCAGAATCCCCCAGCCAGCCGCTGCTGGCTGGGGGATTCTGGGAGTTGAAGTCCACCCATCTTCAAGCTTCCAAGGTTGAGAAACACTGCTATATAGGATCTCCTGCTTGAGCAGGCGGGGCTGGACTAGAGGACCTCCAAGGTCCCTTCCAACTCTATTCTGATTCTGATTTTCTTCTCCCCCTGCCCCATACAGTTTTCGATAGGGAGACAATTAGAAAAATGTCTGTGGAGATTCTCAGCCATCCCATGTCATAGTTGTCCCAAAGGTGCTTTGTTTTAATCAAGAGGAAACTGGACTTTCTGGTATTTTTTTTTTTTTCATTTTGCTTTTCATCCAAGAAGCTTCTTCAGCTCGGACTGGATGGTGGAGGATGGAAGTCCAGCTGTCTGCAAGGAATATAAAGCCTTCCATCCTCCACCATCCGTCAGAGCTGAAGAAGTATAGGTGGTACCTGGCTCAATAGCAGTAACTGTGAGAGGGATTTTGGGAGTCCTAGTGGACGATCACTTAAATATGAGCCAGCCGTGTGCTGCAGCTGCCAAAAAAGCCAACACAGTTCTAGGCTGCATCAACAGAGGGATAGAATCAAGATCACGTGAAGTGTTAATACCACTTTATAATGCCTTGGTAAGGCCACACTTGAAATATTGCATTCAGTTTTGGTCGCCACGATGTAAAAAAAGATGTCGAGACTCTAGAAAGAGTGCAGAGAAGAGCAACAAAGATGCTTAGGGGACTGGAGGCTAAAATACATAAAGAACGGTTGCAGGAACTGGGTATGTCTAGTTTAATGAAAAGGAGGACCAGGGGAGACATGATAGCAGTCTTCCAATATCTCAGGGGCTGCCACAAAGAAGAGGGAGTCAATCTGTTCTCCAAAGCATCTGAAGGCAGGACAAGAAGCTAGAACTAAGGAGAAATTTCCTGACAGTGAACTCCGGGACCAAGGGCAGGTCTGGGTTAAACCCCAGTCAGTTAAAACCTTGCTAACTTAAACCATAGTCAGTTAAAAACTTGCTGTGTTAATAACAAACCTTAATTAAATTTTACTTTTCTCTAATAGTGAATTTTAAACTAAGAACTGATAATTGAGAGTCTTATTTCCATGCTTATTTCATATAAATACCAACAATGACTTCACCGTCAGGAGAATGAACATGGGACTAGGTTATGAAATATATAATGTGTAGAGGAGAAGAATATATATAGATATGTAAAAGAATAGAAATGAAATGTCAAATATATGATATGATCTATGTATATGAATATCTTATTATGGTTTTAATTGTTTTTATAATTGTTTGATAATTTAATAAAGTTTGTTTTAAAATCTAAAAAAAAACAAAAACAAACCTTAATTGTGGCTGTGTTAAACCACAGTCAGTTAAGACCTTAATTCTGTCAGGCACTTGAATTCACTTGCTTGTTTGCATCCCATCTTTATTTTTACAAATAACTCAAGACAGGAAATGTATCCAATATACCTCCTATTTTTCCCCACAACAACAATCCTGTGAGGTAGGTTGAGCTGAGATAGATAGATAGATAGATAGATAGATAGATAGATAGATAGATAGATATAGATATAGATATAGATATAGATATAGATATAGATATAGATATAGATATAGATATAGATATAGATATAGCAGGGGTGAAATCCAGCAGGTTCTGACAGGTTCTGGAGAACTGGTAGCGGAAATTTTGAGCAGTTAGGAGGACCGGCAAATACCACCTCTGGCTGGCCCCAGAGTGGGGAGGGAATGGAGATTTTGCAATATCCTTCCCCCAGGAATGGGGAGGGAATGGGGATTTTGCAGTATCCTTCCCCTGCCATGCCCACCAAGCCCCGCCTACAGAACTGGTAGTAAAAAAAATTTGGATTTCACCACTGAGAGATAGATATAGATATTTGGCCCCCGAATCATCCAGCTGGCTTTCATACTTAAAGTAGGACTACAATTCACCCTCATTACATCCACTGCCATCAGTTCGAATCCCAGATTGTTGGGGGAGGGGGGGGGCAAGAGGCTGACTCTGCAAACTGCTTAGAGAGAGCTGGAAAAAGCACTGTCAAGCGGTATATAAGTCTTAAGAAGCGCTATTGCTAAAGGAACTTTTATATTTTTTTTTCCACGCAGGTTGATGGCCAAAGCAGGACTGGCCGGCGGTGCCCTTTACGTGGTTTACTCCCAGGGGCTGCTGGGGAGCAGCAATAAAGGTGCCGAAGCCCTCCATAAAGCCAAAGCAGCTGTTCCTCCAGCCGTGGAAGAATGGACGAAATATTTCGGTTGGCAGGTGAGCCCAGAACATCATCGTCAGGGTCAACTCAGGCCTGACGCAGGTCATGGATGGACCTCGGGGATGGAGGCAGGGGTGGTTCTAATTTTTTTTACTACCGGTTCTGTGGGCGTGGCTTATTTTGTGGGCGTGGCTTGGAGGTCATGTGACTAGGTGGGCGTGGCTAGCTGGTCAGAGTCATTTCAGGAAGGTCCTCGCACTTACGACCCGACTCATTTGTTTGCTTTTAACACCGATCAGCTGTAGGACGGCCCTTTGAAGCCCCCCGGCAAGAGTTTAAACAGTTTTTTTCCCTCTAGTCATCAGCTGGACTCAGGAGGCAGCAAAGATTGGGGTGGGACCAAATAAAAGGTAAGAATAACGTGGGGGGGTGAGGGCGGGGGGGAACCGGTTTGGTGACATCATATCGTCACCGCTACCGGCTCGGCCGAACCGGACCGAACCGGGAGGACCCACCACTGGATGAGGGCTGCGGATCTATGTAGGAGTGGCTCTCCAAAGAGAGATGCAAGGAACGAATACAGGAAGTCCTCGACTTAACAATGGTTTGCTTAGGGACCGTTCAAAGTTACAACGGTGCTAAAAAAAGTGACTTAATACAGTTTTTCACACTTACGACCTTTGCAGCATTCCTGTGCTGTGATTTTTTGATCAGGTGATCAAAATTCAATGCTTGGCAATTGACCACATTTATGACGGTTGCAGTGTCCCGGGTCACGGATCCCCTTTTGCGACCTCCTGACAAGCAAAATCAAGGGGAAATCAATTCAACTTAACAACTGGGTTACTAATTTATCAATTGTAGTGATTCACTTAACAACCGCGCAAGAAAGGTCGTAAAATGGGTAAAACTCACTAACAATTGTCACTGAACATACGGAAATTCCGGGCTCGATTGCGGTCGTACGTTGAGGACTACCTATACTGCCTTGGTCACACAGATATATATCTGGCTTTAAGGAGTTTAACAAGGAACGTTTTTTGTTGTTTTTTAAATTTGATTTATTGCCGCCCTTCTCCGGAGACTCAGGGCGGCTTACAATGTGCTCAGCATAGCCTTCACCTTTTGTATATTTATACAAAGTCAGCTTATTGCCCACAAAACTGGGTCCTCATTTTACCTACCTTAGAAAGGATGGAGGCTGAGTCAACCTTGAGCCTGGTGAGATCGAACTACTTTAATTGCAGACAGCTGGTGTTAAATTACAGTGCTTCTGTTTGTTGAGCTATCCAGGCTCAACTTTGACCGTTTTTCACACTTACGAGTTGCAGCATCCCTGCGGTCACGTGATCAAATGCACATGCTTGCTGGTTCATATTTATGACGGTCGCATATGTGATCCACTTTTGGGACCTTCGTGGGCTAGATTCACTCAACAACCGTTGACTACTGAACACCTGCAATGATTCACTTAACAACTTGGCCAAGCAGGCTGTAAAATGTGGCAAAACTCATGTAACGAATGTCTCACTTAATGTAAACTTCCCCCATTGACTTTGCTTAACAAAGCGCAAAAGGGATCACATGACCTTGGGACACTCTGATCATCATAAGTATGAACCAGTTGCCTAACATCTGAATGGGACCATTGTGGCCAAGAGGACGCTGAAAAGTGTAACTGAAAAATGGTCCTAAGTCACTTTTTTCAGTGCCGTTGTAACTTTGAACGTCACTAAGCAAATGTTGTAAATCGAGGACTACTGTATATATAGATTAAGGGTCTCCAACATGTTGGCTGTGGAATTCTGGGAGTTTGAAGTCCACAAGTCTTCAAGTTGCCAATTTGGGAATAATAATAATAATAATAATAATAATAATAATAATAATAATAATACTAATAATAATAATAATAATAATAATAATAATTTTATTTCTATACCGCCCTTCTCCCGAAGGACTCAGGCGGTGTACAGCCTATTTAAAAACACAGACAAAACAACAATATGGAAATTTAAAATAATTAAATAAAGTGGCTCAAATTTAAAACCCCAATAAATTTAAATACCCCAATTTAAACTATTGTGGATAGTCCCCTGGCGGATAGAGATTCTCTATTAGTGGAATCTTTTGCAGCAGCTTTACATCAAACTTCGTTCTTTTCCCCTTGTGAAACTGATAGAATTTGAACACAGCACTTTCTCTCATCCTTCGCTCAGACCGAACCCTTTTCTGGCACATATCTCAGTCTATTTTTGTCTTTCATTTCTGCAGCTTCCAGCGGTTCCAAAAACTGAATTTTCCCTCTGCAATGCCTGGAACTCAGGTACAGTGCGGCTGTTTAGACGGATCCCTATCCTGCTTGTGACCGCAACCATTTTTTAACTGGGTTTCTTCGAAGGTGGGGCAGCTGTGAGGACTCTGTTAAAAAGCTTGACTAAGAAAACAAGGCTAAGGGGTGTGAGGTTCTGGGCACAGGCTGTTATTCATTTTGTTTGGTGTTAGCCTAGCAACCAGATGTGACGTCCTCTAACTCTGATGCGTTACTTTTCTTCTCTTTAAGAATTTTATTTCATTTCAAAGAAATGAAAAAGGTTAAAATACAACATTTCAACCAAAAGAAGAAAGATGGAGGATGGGAACAGTAGGGAAAGATTTAAATGCAGGATTCAAGTAGGAAGGAAAAAGGGATGGGAGATGGGAAGGAAGGAAGGAAGATGGAAAGAAGGAAAGAAAGAAATGGGAGAGATAGGTAGGAAAGAGATGGGACATGGATGGAAGGGAGGAAAAAAAAAGGAAAGAAATGGAGATAGGAAGGATGGAAAGATGGGAGATGGATGGATGGATGGAAAGAAAGAAAGAAAAAAGAAAGAGAAAAAAGAAAGAAAGATGGGAGATGGAAGGAAGGAAGGAGAGTGAGGAAAAAGAAGAGAAAAAAATTGGAGATGGAAGGAAGGAAAGAAAAAGAAAAGGAAAAAAGATGGAAGATGGAAAGAAGGAAGGAGAGAAGAAAGAGAAATTGAAGATGGAAGGAAGGAGAGTGAGGGAAGAAGGAAAGGAAGGAAAGAGATGGGAGATGGATGGAGGAAGGAAGGAAAGAAAAAGAAAGGAAGAAGGAAAGATGGGAGATGGAAGGAAGGAAGGAAAGAAAAAGGAAGGAAAGAAAAAAGGAAAGAAAGATTGGAGATGGAAGGAAGGAAGGAGAGAGGAAAAAGAGAAAAAGAAATTGGAGATGGAAGGAAGGAAAGAGATGGGAGATGGATGGATGGATGGATGGAAGGAAAGAAAAAGAAAGAAAGAAAGAAAGAGGGGAAGGAAGGAAGGAGTGAGGAAAGAAAGAAGAGAAAGAAATTGGAGATGGAAGGAAGAGTGAGGGAAGAAGGAAAGGAAGGAAAAAATGGCAATAAGAAGGAAAGGAAGGAAGGAAGAGGAATCAAGGGAGGAAGCTTAGAAAGGAAGAAAGGAATGAAAGGAAGGGAAAGGAAAGAAATAAATAGATGACAGAGGGAAGGGAAGAAGGAGAGAAGGAAGCAAAAAAGGAGAAAGGGAGAGGAACGGGAAGGAAGGAAAGAAAAAAGCTTCCAGTCTGCTTAACCGCAGATATAAATACATTTATATTTTATCCTCTCTCTCTCTCTTGTCAGATTACATTCTTTCTCTTCTTTCTGTATCCTACCGTTTCTAAGCCCCAAACCCATAAAATCCCGAGCTCACGGAACAGATCGCTGATTCCCGAACGTGTCGTTTAAACTCTCCCTCTTTTTTTTTTTTTTTTTTTTTTTTTGCGCAGGGGTCCGTACTGTCATAAGTGCCCTTTCCATCGCCCCCACCAAGAGCTGCGAATACACACAACAAGGATGGAAATACATCAAAGAGCTGGTGAAATGAAGGCAGCTGCCGGAGCAGCAGCGTTGCATCGTCCTCTTGCCGTCCAGCAGAAATTATCTCCGTCCGGCTTTGCAGAAAAGCAACCCTGTTTTATAACCAGGGGTTATAAAAGAGCCGCCAGACAGCCTATTATTATTTTTTTTGTTTTTCATCAGACTGTTCTGACTCTTGATTTCTGTATTTGGCAAAGCCAATTCGAGGTCGGGATAAAGCTGTTGGGGCCCTCGTCTCTTGGCTGCGTTACCAAATTAAAGTTGGAATGTGTGGGTTTGCGAAAAACTTGGGGAGTTATTTATTTCCCTTTTAAGGATCCGAGAACGGTCTGAACGATTCGGGTTAGGGATTTGGAAACGGGGGAGGTAGGAATCGGCTGTTGGCTTCGAGATGGGGTTGGTTGGTTGGTAGCCACCAAAGCTGTGGTCCCTGGTGGACCCCAGCCTTGAGAAGGATTTAGAGCAAGGGTCTCCAACCTGGCAACTTTTAAGACTTGTGGACTTCAACTCCCAGAATTCCTCAGCCAGCATTTGTAGATTTTTAATTCCCAGAATTCCCTAGTCAGTATTTGTGGACTTCAACTCCCAGAATTCCCCAGACAGCATTTGTAGATTTTTAATTCCCAGAATTCCCCAGTCAGCATTTGTAGATATTTAATTCCCAGAATTCCCCAGTCAGCATTTGTAGATATTTAATTCCCAGAATTCCCCAGTCAGCATTTGTAGATTTTTAATTCCCAGAATTCCCCAGTCAGCATTTGTGGACTTCAAATCCCAGAATTCCCCAAACAGCATTTGTGGAAAGCTGGCTGAGGAACTTTGGGAGTTGAAGTCCACAAATACTGACTGGGGAATTCTGGGAATTAAAAATCTACAAATGCTGACTGGGGAATTCTGGGAATTAAAAATCTACAAATGCTGTCTGGGGAATTCTGGGAGTTGAAGTCCACAAGTCTTAAAGTTGATTTTGAGAAGTCCAGAGAAGGACCACCCACTAAGAGCAGGTTTAGCCTTGAGGGAAGATGACCAAGATAACGAAGGTGATGGTCCTTCTCAGATATCCGATAGGAGGTCACACAGAAGACCTTCAAGACTTCTCCTCTCTCAATCCAGAGTGCAGGATGTGGAATTTTGGAGGCCAATTCTGCGTGAATTTAGGAAAAGTTCCTAACCTATAAACATAATGGAATCCAGGAGTGGGCCTCCATTGTTGTCTGGGTTCAAATGAAGTCTAATCAAGCATCTGTTGAGGGTGTCCATGTCTTACCTTAGATTCCTGCCCCAAGCAGGGAGTTAGATCAGGGTTTTTCAACCTTATCCATGTTAAGATGGGTGAACTTCAGTTCCCAGAATTCCACAGCTATATCTATCATCCATCTCTCTCTCTCTCTCTCTCTCTCCCTCCTACCGTATCATCTCCCTCCCTCTTCCTCCCTCTCTCTTATCTATCAATCATATCTGTCTGTCCATCCATCCATCCATCCATCCATCCATCCATCCATCTATCTATCTATCTATATCTACCGTGTTTCCCCAAAAATAAGACCCTGTCTTATATTTTTTTGAACCCTGAAATAAGCGCTTGGCCTTATTGCCATGCGCTCAAAAGCCCGATTGGGCTTATTATCAGGGAATGTCTTATTTTGGGGGAAACGGTATCTATCTATCCATCTATCCATCCATCCATCCATCTATCTATCTATCTATCTATCTATCTATCTATCTATCTATCTATCTATCTATCCCTCTCTAATAAAGGAGAATATTTGTAGCTCAGGGTTGAAATGAGGAGTCCTTGATGCCCTCTGAGCTTGTTTTCTTGCAGACGTTTCATTACCCAACTAGGTAACATCATCCATGTTAGGAAGGAGTGCTGTTTGCTGTCAGTTTATATTCTGGTGACTTGCCTGTCTGTGTGGGTGGGAGCGGTCTTAGAGATTCTTTGGTTGGGCTGTTTACTGTTGACTCTTTGGTACTTTCTTGATCGGGGCATTGTTTACTTGATTGTCGGTCTGATGTTAACCTTGGAGTTAATCTAGGCTGATTGCTGGTGGAGAAGTGCTGGAGTCTTTTCTCCTTTTGGCTGGTTCATTGTCTTTTTTGCATAGTCTGCAAGTGTTGTTAATGTCAATGTATCTATTAATGGCTGGTTTGTCTGGGTGCCAGGTTTCTAGAAATTCCCTGGCATTTTTGGACTTGGCCTGGATAGGATTATCACATTTTCCCAATTGAAACTATGGTTAAATCTGTCTATATGTTGTCTATATCATCTCTCTCTCTCTCTCCCTCACACACCCACACACACACATAAACACACCCCCACACACACACACATCTATCGTCTGTCTGTCTGTCTATATCTCATCTGTCTATCTTGTCTATCCATCCATCCGTCTATCATCTATTTAATCTATATATCTACCGTACTTTTTGGAGTATAAGGCACACTTTTTCCCCCCTAAAGGAGGATGGAAATGTTGGTGCATCTTATACACCGAATACAGACATTTTTGGCCTCCCGAAACCCCACCCCACATGTCCCGTTGTTGCAAAAAATGGGGCGTGCAGAGCGTTTGGGAGGCCTGCAAAGTGCTCCTGGGGGCCGGGGAGGGCAAGCACTTTTTTCTTCTTCTTTACCTCTTCAAAATCTTGGCACATCTTATACTCCAGTGCGTCTTATAGTCTGAAAAATACGGTATAGAAAAATACAGATAGAATATCTATCTGTCTGTCTGTCTGTCTGTCTGTCTGTCTGTCTTATCTATCTATCATCTATCTATCCATCTATCCATCTATCTATTTAATATCTATCTATCTATCTGTTTAACATCTATCTTTCTATCTATTTAACATCTATCTATCTATTTAACATCTATATCTACCTATTTAACATCTATCTATCTATCTATTTAACATCTATCTATTTAACATCTATCTATCTATTTAACATCTATCTATCTAACATCTATCTATTTAACATATATATCTATTTATCTATTTAACATCTATCTATCTACCTATTTAACATCTATCTATCTATTTAACATCTATATTTATCTATTTAACATCTATCTACCTATTTAACATCTATCTATCTATTTAACATCTATATTTATCTATTTAACATCTATCTATCTATCTATCTATCTATCTATCTATCTATCATTTATCTACCTATTTAACATCTATCTATCTATCTATCTATCTATCTATCATTTATCTACCTATTTAACATCTATCTATCTATCTATCTATCTATCTATCTATCTATCTATCATTTATCTACCTATTTAACATCTATCTATCTATCATCATCTACAATTTCGATTGTTGGGGTCTCCCCATCTCATGTTCCCACCAACTCAGCAATCCTGAGACAAGCAGGCATCCAAAGCAGTTCTTTAAAATAATTATTTTTTTAATCAATCATTTTTTAAAAAAGAGAAAGAAGCAAAAAAAAAAAAAAAGGAAAGGGAGGTAAAAAAGGAAAGTTAGCGGGATCGTTATCAGTAAGAAAATCTTCATAGTTGATTTTTGTTTCTGCATGCCACAAACGGCAAGTGTGTGTTGGCAGATGCCCCTTGCCCAAAGCTTAGGAAAGGTCCACAGGGCCAGAGGGTAGCCGCCTCTTCTGATGCATTTTGATATACATCTCCTTTTCCCAGCGAAGGGAATTGTGTTGTTTCTTCCTCTGGAGTTCAACAGATCCTGCCTTGTGAGAGATCCTGGTGAATTGTTCATCTGCAGGGAATCACAGAATATTGAATAACAGGAGTGGAAGGGGCCTTGGAGGTCTTGTGGTCCAGGGGTCTCCAACCTTGGCAACTTTAAGTCTTGTGGACTTCACAAGTTGAAGTCCGCAAGACTTAAAGTTGCCAAGGTTGGAGACCCCTGTATCTAGTCCAACACACTGCGCCATTGTTTCAAGAGATATTTTCCTTACCTAAACAGAGGAAACAGGATGATTCAAGGACTTAAAATACAATTTGGGTGACTTTGGCCTTCCTGCCAGCTTGACTGTGGTTTTACATTTAGGCAAGAAAAAAAACAAAGGAACAGGTACAGTATAGGACAGGTGGTACCTGACTCAATAGTGGTGACTGTAAGAGGGATTTTGGGAGTCCTAGTGGACAACCATTTAGATATGAGCCAGCCGTGTGCAGCAGCTGCCAAAAAAGCCAACACAGTTCTAGGCTGCATCAACAGAGGGAGAGAATCAAGATCATGTGAAGTGTTAAGACCACTTTATAATGCCTTGGTAAGGCCACACTTGGAATACGGCATCCAGTTTTGGTCGCCACGATATAAAAATGATGTGGAGACTCTAGAAAGAGTGCAGAGAAGAGCAACAAAGATGATGAGGGGAACTGGAGGCTAAAATCTATAAAGATCGGCTGCTGGAATTGGGTATGTCTAGTTTGCTGAAAAGGGGGACCAGGGGAGACATGATAGCAGTCTTCCAATATCTCAGGTGTTGCCACAAAGAAGAGGGAGTCAAGCTATTCTCCAAAGCACCTGAAGGACAAGAAGCAATGGATGGAAACTAATCAAGGAGAGAAGCAACTTAGAACTAAGGAGAAATTTCCTGACAGTGAGAACAATTAACCAGTGGAACTGCTTGCCACCAGAAGCTGTGAATGCTCCAACACTGGAAGTTTTTAAGAAGAGATTGGACAACCATTTGTCTGAAATAGTGTAAGTTTTCCTGCCTGAGCAGGGAGTTGGACTAGAAGACCTCCAAGGTCCCTTCCAACTCTGTTATTCTATTCTAACTACGCCTCCGGCAGCCGATAGCAAGATTGGTCTTCCCAGCGGCGTGGCACCATTGAAGCGACCAGAAATTTGCCAAATTGTAATCCTGCCAGAGTCGGGGATTCGAGATTTGGGGTCAATTCTGTACATTATATCCCCCTTTTGGGATTCCTTGGTTTAAACGTCGTTGCCCTGCGGTGCCCTGTTCCACCCAGTTAAAAGCGTCAAGAATTTTATTAGCACGCGTAGTCCTCGACATAGGACCACAGGTCAGGCCGAAGTTTCGGTTGCAAAGCAAGACGGTTGTTAAGGGAGCTTTGCCCCGTTTTAGGACCTTCCTCACCACAGCGGTTCAATGAAATTTGCCTGGCCTAGTTGGAGGTGTTTAAAAAGCCGCCTCTGAGTCTTCGGAGAGGGGCGGCATATAAATTGAATTAAATTAAATTGAATGAAATTGAAATTGAAAAAGGAGACACTGGCAACTCTGAAGGCTCAAAGATGGCCCCAGCCAGGTTGGCTTCAGGGTTGACAGGCACAGTTTCTTCTCAAACACACACACACACACACACACACACAAACCTGATTGACTGCTGAGTGTCCTTCCAAAGAGGAAGATGGTGCCAGCCATCATGGCTGCTAAGGTTAAAACCACCAGAAGGATCGCACACCAATGTTTCTGTAGAGAGAAAACACACCGACACATAGTTTTTTTAAAAAGCCTCTGCTGATCAGGCAACTCAGCTTGGCTCATCAGAGGCATTTAAAAGAAAAAAAGGGTTTTTTTTTCTTTTAAAAGCCTTTGACGATCCCAGCTATCATCAGAGGCCTTTTTTTTTTACTTTTAAAAGCATTTTTTGGCCGAAGAGGTTGTAGAAAAAAATGCTTTTAAAAGTAAAAAAAAAAGCCTCTGATGATTGTGCGGCTCAGCTGGGCATGGTGGGGGGGGGCAGGGATTTTTGCTACCGGTTCTCTGAACCACCCGCTGCCATCGCTACCCGATCAGGTCCAAACCGGGAGCATTTCACCCCTGGCATAGACCCTCAACTTTTGACTTTTGCAGAATAATACCGTAGATACTAGCCATTTCTATAATGACAAACCTACCTATTTCTTTAAGAACAAACCTATCAGCAAAACCCAAAATTTAAAAAATCATTTCTTTTTTCAACCTCGAGCACAAAGCCCAGAAATGGTTTCCAAGTAAAGAAAAGAAACATTTTCAAAAGAAAACAAAAAGGTTCAGATGCCTTTTGGAAAAAAAGTGCCTTTGGGACAACCAGGACCTGGGATGACTGAGAATCTCCACAGATGTCCTTCAAAGTCCTCCCCACCTTCATCCATGAAGGATGTCCTCACCTTCATCCAGGTGGCCAGGTCCTCCATTTCGATGAAGTCCAAGATGAAGTTTTTCACCCTGGCGATGGGACCGTCCTCGTCTACGAAACGGCAGACGTGGAATTTGTCACAGTAGCCGTTCTTCTCGCCACACGGCGAGCCCGGGAGGAGCGGGATATCCGAACCGTTGAAAACATGGTCCCAAAATTTCGAGGAGGTGCTGGCACAGGTTTCAGCTTGTCCTACAGAAGCCATGTGGGGGAGGGGAAGGGAAGGGGGAAGGGAGAAGAATAAATGCTTAGAATTGAACGTCTCCAAGGCAAGCACAACTTTTTGGTTGAAGCTACCCAGGATCTTGGCACAATGCCGCGAAGATGAACACGTTACTCAGAATAGGAGTGGCTATGGTGACGGATGATAATGGGTAATATCTGTCTGCTGAAGCTGGTTTCCAGTCTTATATCGCCTGTGGCCTGCGCGGATCGTGGCTGATCCCGACGACGAGGAGGCTGGTGTGGTGTTGCGCCAGCAGCCTGTGCAGCCGGCGCTCGCGTCGGACAGCGAGGAGGCTGAAGAGGATGTGGTGCCAGAGGCAGAGACTCAGCCAGGGCCTTCAGAACCTCCAGAGGCTCCTTCCAGTGGAGAGAGCGAAGTGGAGGAGCCTCTCCTCAATGCTCGAGCACGCAGGGCTGCCAAAAGGCAGGAGTGGCTACTCAGGAGGAGGAGGTCTCCTCGAGAGTAAGGCTTGAGGATAATTGGCCACTCCCTTAGCCTATTTAAGTCACACGCCGTTAGTAAGTTTCTTGTTGGAAACAACTTGTAATTATCATCAGAGCATTTTTGGAAAAGTCTTATCGTATCTTGTTTTCTGGGCTGGTTGCCAACCTTTGCCGAACTTTGGTTTATTCTTGCTACTTAAAAAATTTGATAAGGACCGTTGGTGTGTGTCAATATCCCCGGAAATCCGGAGCTGGGGCAAAACAGGAAGAGAATATTTGTAGCTCAGGGTTGAACTGTGGGGTCCTAGATGCTCTCTGAGTTTGGTTACTTTCTTGCAGACGTTTCATGACCCAATTAGGTAATATCATCAGTGCTAGAAGGGAGTAGGGTTTGCGGAGAGGAGGAGGAGGACTGTGGGAGTTGAAATCCACCCATCTTAAAGTTGCCAAGGTTGAGTAAGTATATTGGATGATTAACAGATTAACAGAGTTGGAAGGGACCTTATAGGTCATCTAGTCCAACCCCCAACTCAAGCAGGAAACCCTATACCAGTGATGGCTAAACTTTTTGCCATCGCGTGCCAAAAGCGGGGGAGCATAGGGGGGTTGCGTGTGTGTGTGCCCACACCCATAATTCTATGTGGCCTGCCCCGCACATGTGTGCGTGACCCACCCCGCACTTCCCTCATTTTTGGCATGTGATGGCACAGCAGGCCTGTTTTTCACCCTCCCCAAGCCCCAGAGCCTTTCTAGGAGCCTGGGGAGGGCGAAAATGGCCTTCCCCACCCCCTTGAAGGCCCTCCGGAGGCTGGAAATGACCTGTTTGCTGACTTCCAGTGGGCCCAAAAGGCCCAAAAATCAGCTGGCTGGTGCGTATATGTGTGCCAGAGCTGAGCTCGCATGCCCACCAATATGGCTCCGTGTGCCAACTGTGGCACGCGTGCCATAGGTTCGCCATCACGGCCCTATACCATTTCTGACAAATGTCAGTCCAATCTTTTCTTGAAAGCCTCCAGTGATGAAGCGCCCACAACTTCCGAAGGCAACTTTTATTCCATGGGTTGATTGTTCTCTCTGTCAAGAAAATTCCTCCTCATTTCTAGGTCGAATCTCTCCTTGGTCAGTTTCCATCCATTATTCCTTGTCTGGCCTTCAGGTGCTTTGGAAAACAGCTTGATCCCTTCCTCTCTATGGCAGCCTCTCAAATATTTATTTATTTATTTATTAAATTTATATGCCGCCCCTCTCCAGAGACTCAGGGCGGCTCACAATAATTTAATAAACAAAAATTTAATAAAACAAAACAAACAAAACAATACATTTTAAAAAAAACCATTCTAAAAGCATTTAAAAGATTAAAAAACATTAAAAACCTTAGAACTCATTCACACCATTCATGGCCGGATCTCGCCAGATCACAAGAGCGAGATCAATGGCCCCAGGCCTGCTGGAAAAACCAGGTCTTCACCGCTTTTCGGAAGGCCAATAGGGTGGGGGAGGTCCGGACTTCAGGAGGTAACTGGTTCCAGAGAGCCGGGGCAGCCACAGAGAAGGCCCTTCCTTGCGGGCGCACCAGCCGGCATTGTTTAGCTGATAGGACCCGGAGGAGACCAACTCTGTGGGATCTTACCAGTCGCTGGGAGCTATTGGAATGCTAATGAAGGAACTTGGAGGAGGCTATTTTCACTTAACGACCACCGCAAAAAAAAAATTGGTTGGTCATATGACCAACATATTTTACCACCATTATGACTTACAACCATAATGGGCAGGCACTATTGCGGTCGTAACTCGAGGACAATAAGCCTGGACTCGATAAAAGTTTTTGAGAGCTTTCTTTTGCCTCCAGGCACGGCCTCAAATGTTGGGGACCCATGTGAGATTAGACACTGACCTGGTAGCTGGCAACAGAGCTGGCATCTTCCTCGCAGAGGACTAGAGGCACACTGGCATTCCTGCAGCCCATGCTGGAGGCAGAGGGACCCTTCGCAGAGCTGAAAGGTAGAAGGGGGGATTTTTGCAGATTGTCTTCGACTTACGACCATTTGAAGTTACCAGATCACACTTAGGACTGGTTAACGACTGCATGTTTCGGCTTTACCACTGCATGATTCACTCAACTGCTGTAAAAGCTAAAATCCTAAAATTGGCTCCGGTTGTGGTGGGTGAGTGCCTTGACTTATGGCCGAAATTCTGGTGCCAATTGTGGTCATAAGTCAAGGACTATCTGTATCAAAGAATGTACTTATAACACCTGTGTCAGGGTTCCGACGGATGCCCTGACTAAATCATGAGCCTCGAGCCAAGCTTCAAAAGAAATCCAGTTATTTATTAGGAGTTTCATGTCGGCACGTTCCAAGTGAAGCCAACTCTGACCCCACGTAATTTATGCCCCAATCATGACCCTGTTTCCCCCCCCCCCACACAATGTGTCATCAATCACATTCGCCAACAGAGCAATTTCATGGGTTGTAGAGATCATTCCCTTTTGGCCACTGTGGGTAACCCTGGGAGACAGCCTTGAGAGAGATATGTCTGGAATGTGCTTTTGTATTTGGCTGCCGTGCTGTTTCGTCGGTTTCCCATCCCCCTTGCCTATAGCAACTCGAGAGCAGGCCAGGGATGCTTTCCAGGTTGACAACCTGGCTAAACTGTCGAAAAATATAACGAGGCATAACAAATCAGCATTGGAAGTGTGAACAGGAAGATATTTTCCCCCTGCACGGTGGACTTTTTGGAAAGTTAAAAAATTGCTGGATACAAAGTCATCCAACGATGCAAAAGATACGTATAGGTAGTCCTCAAGTTACAATTATTCATTTAGTGACTGGTTACAACAGCACTGAAAAAAGTGACATGATTTTTTTTCCCCCACTTATGACTGTCACAGTATCCCCAGGGATACGTGATCACGTGATCAAAATCCAGGCACTTGGCAATTGGTATGTATTTATGACATGTGTCCCAGGGATCATGTGATCACCATCTGTAAACTTCCCAGCCATCTTTCTGACAAGCAAGGTCAATTGGGAGGGAGCCGGATTCACTTAATGACCGCCCAATTCCCTTAAACAACTGCACTGATTCATATAACGGCTGCGGCAAAAAACATCATCAAATCAGGGACAAAAAAACATCCTAAACTCAGTCTCTTAACAACTGAGGCGGTTAGAAACGAAAATTTTGGATTCAGTTGTGGTTGTAAGTCGAGGACTACCTGTCCAGCTTGATTTGATCAGGAGAAAAAAAAAATTCCTCCAATCGCAAACAAAGAGCCATAAACCTCCAAAGGATCATTTTCTACCTGCCCCTCTGGTCAAGCCAGTTTTCCCCACCCTCATTCTTCTTAAGTTGCCCGTGGTAGACTGCTCTTGAGCCTGGAGGCTCCACTGGGATGCCAAGTTCACATTAGCATTTCTGGATGGCCTCCACGGGACTCACCCCGTTCAAACACAGGCGGAGGCCGAGGCCGCAGGGGGTGAAGTTGGCTTTCGGTAGGGGCTCTGGACACGTGGAGCTCGCTCCCGTGCAAAGGCTTTCCAAAGCACAGTCATTCTCATCCTGGCACCTTTGTCCCGGAGGTTTAAGGACACAATTCTGGTTACAACAGAATCCTTGACTGGGGCTGTAGGAGAGAGGGAGGGAGGGACACAGACAGAGACAGAGAGAGAGATGATGGATGAGTGACGGATGATAGATAGAGAGATAGATAGATAGATAGATAAGAGCCTGGTGGAGCAGTGGACTAAAGCGCTGTTAAATAGCACTTAGCTGCCAGCTGCCTGCAATTACTACAAGTTCGAATCTCACCAGGCTCAAGGTTGACTCAGCCTTCCATCCTTCCGAGGTAGGTAAAATGAGGACCCGGATTGTGGGGGCAATAAGCTGACTTTGTATAAAAAAGAACACCCCGGGGGGGGGGGGCAAAAGCCCTACTAAGCAGGTATATACAAAAGTATGAAGGCTATTGCTTAACGCATTGTAAGCCACCCTGAGTCTCCGGAGAAGGGCGGCATATAAATTGAACCAATAAATAGATAAATAAATAAATAAATAAATAAAGATGATAGATAGATAGATAGATAGATAGATAGATAGATAGATAGATAGATATAAGTAGATAGATAGATATACAGTCAGGTCCAGAAATATTGGGACATCGACACAATTCTAACATCTTTGGCTCTATACACCACCACAATGGAGTTGGAATGAAACAAATACAATGTGTGTTAACTGCAGACTGTCAGCTTTAATTTGAGGGTATGTACATCCAACTCAGGTGAATGGTGTAGGACTTACAGCAGTTTGCATATGTGCCTCCCACTTGTTAAGGGACCAAAAGTAATGGGACAAAATAATAATCACAAATCAAACTTTCCCTTCTTAATACTTGGTTGCAAATCCTTTGCAGTCAATCACAGCCTGAAGTCTGGAATGCATAGACATCACCAGACACTGGGTTTCATCCCGGGTGATGCTCTGCCAGGCCTCTACTGCAACTGTCTTCAGTTCCTGCTTGTTCTTGGGGCATTTTCCCTTCAGCTTTGTCTTCAGCAAGTGAAATGCATGCTCAATGGGATTCAGGTCAGGTGATTGACTTGGCCATTGCATAACATTCCATTTCTGTCCCTTCAAAAACTCTTTGGTTGCTTTCGCAGTATGCTTTGGGTCATTGTCTATCTGCACTGTGAAGCGCCGTCCAATGAGTTCTGCAGCATTTGGCTGAATGTGAGCAGATAATATTGCCCAAAACACTTCAGAATTCATCCTGCTGCTTTTGTCAGCAGTCACATCATCAATAAATACAAGAGAACCAGTTCCATTGGCAGCCATACATGCCCATGCCATGACACTACCACCCCCATGCTTCACTGATGAGGTGGTATGCTTAGGATCATGAGCAATTCCTTTCCTTCTCCATACTCTTCTCTTCCCATCACTCTGGTACAAGTTGATCTTGGTCTCATCTATCCATAGGATCTTGTTCCAGAACTGTGAAGGCTTTGTTAGATGTTGTTTGGCAAACTCTAATCTGGCCTTCCTGTTTTTGAAGCTCACCAATGGTTTACATCTTGTGGTGAACCTTCTGTATTCATTCTGGTGAAATCTTCTCTTGATTGTTGACTTTGACACACATACACCTACCTCCTGGAGAGTGTTCTTGATCTGGCCAACTGTTGTGAAGGGTGTTTTCTTCACCAGGGAAAGAATTCTTCGGTCATCCACCACACTTGTTTTCCATGGTCTCCCAGGTCTTTTGGTGTTGCTGAGCTCACTGGTGCATTCCTTCTTTTTGAGAATGTTTCAAACAGTTGTTTTGGCCATGCCTAATGTTCTTGCTATCTCTCTGATGGGTTTGTTTTGTTTCTTCAGCCTAATGATGGCTTGCTTCACTGATAGTGACAGCTCTTTGGATCTCATCTTGAGAGTTGACAGCAAGATTCCAAATGCAAATAGCACACTTGAAATGAACTCTGGGCCTTTTATCTGCACATTGTAATTGGGGTAATGAGAGAATATCACACACCTGGCCATGGAACAGCTGAGAAGCCAATTGTCCCATTACTTTTGGTCCCTTAACAAGTGGGAGGCACATATACAAACTGCTGTAAGTCCTACACCGTTCACCTGAGTTGGCTGTACATACCCTCAAATTACAGCTGACAGTCTGCAGTTAACACACATTGTGTTTGTTTCATTCCAACTCCATTGTGGTGATGTATAGAGCCAAAGATGTTAGAACTGTGTCGATGTCCCAATATTTCTGGACCTGACTGTAGATGATAGATATGACAGAGAGAGATGATGGATGAATGATGGATGATAGATGATAGATATAAGATGGGTAGCTAGCTAGATGATAGATAGATAGATAGATAGATAGATAGATAGATAGATAGATAGATAGATAGAAAGATAGATGATAGATAGATAGTGATAGAGATAGAGATAGATAGGTAGATAGATAGATAGATAGATAGATAGATAGATAGATAGATAGTTAGATAGATGATAGATAGATAGAGATAGAGATAGTGATAGATAGGTAGATAGATAGGTAGATAGATAGATAGATAGATAGATAGATAGATAGATAGATAGATAGATGATAGATAGATAGATAGATGATAGATAGATATAGGTAGATATAGATGATAGATATGACAGAGAGAGAGATGAATGGATGGATGATAGATGATAGATATAAGATGGGTAGCTAGCTAGATGATAGATGATAGATAGATAGATAGATAGATAGATAGATAGATAGATAGATAGATGATAGATGATAGATAGTGATAGAGATAGTGATAGATAGGTAGATAGGTAGATAGATAGATAGATAGATAGATAGATAGATAGATAGATAGATAGATAGATAGATAGATATAGGTAGATATAGGTAGATATAGATGATAGATATGACAGAGAGAGAGATGATGGATGGATGATAGATGATAGATATAAGATGGGTAGCTAGCTAGATGATAGATGAGAGATAGATAGATAGATAGATAGATAGATAGATAGATAGATGATAGATGATAGATAGATAGTGATAGAGATAGTGATAGATAGGTAGATTAGATAGAAGATAGATAGATAGATAGATAGATAGATAGATAGATAGATAGATAGACAGACACAGTAGATGATAGATAACCTTTATTGTCATGTAAATAAATACATAAGTCCAATCCATCACCATTACCTGCACGCTGCTCCTGGTTTCAACCGGCACTGGATTCCCCTCGGCTCCCCAGCACTGTAGCAGCAGGCGTCCTCATTGTCGCTCCCAACGTCGCATTCTTCTTCCGGATCCACAATCTGGTTCCCGCAGATGGGACGGTCGGTTTCTGGAAAGGAAGACGAAGAAGAGGGGAAATAGTACTATTCCCAGGAGAAGTTTGCAAAAGTTGCTTGATCATTTGGGTTTCGGCCTGGAGAAGAAGTCAGGTCATCCCATATCTGTTGCAGTGAATGTTAAAAGCACAGCGGAGCCTCTGTGCCGTGTGGCAGTCTACCTGCAAGACTCCACAGCTAAAAAGGGAGGCTTGATTTCATGGCTCACGTCTCAGCTTCTCAAAAGCTGTGGTTGGACACTGAAAAATACTGCCGAGCAGTGGTGAAATCCAATTTTTTTTTACTACCGGTTCTGTTGGTGTGGCTTGGTGGGCATGGCTTGGTGGGCGTGGCAGGGGAAGGATACTGCAAAATCTCCATTCCCTCCCCACTCTGGGACCAGCCAGAGGTGGTATTTGCCAGTTCTCCAAACTACTCAGAATTTCTGCTACCAGTTCTCCAGAATGTGTCAGAATCTGTTGGATTTCACCCCTGCTGCTGAGCCTCCCTGAGCAGAGAAAGTCTACCTTTCAACTCCCATTGTTGGCAGCCATAATAGAGCCTCCCTGGACAGATGTTGTCTACCCATATTTGTCAGCCAACTACAGGATGAGGACCATTGTCTTCCTGCTTGGCATCAAATTGTCCACAGTGGAAAGCTTGCTTAGATAACACCTTACTCACTCAAACAACAAAATGGAGCTTCCCTGCAGAGGAAGACTCTACCTTATACAACTACAAGATAAGAGACAATGATTGGCCACAGGGAGGAATTGGATATAGCAAAGTAGTGTTTCTCTGACTCGGCCACTTTAAGAGGTATGGACTTCAACTCCCAGAATTCCACAGCCAGAAAGAGGAGTTGAAGTTAACACCTCTTAAAGTCGCCAAGTCTGGGAAAACTGATCCAGCCCCACCACTGAGAACCTAATCCAGGATCCTTGGAACTCCCCACCACCAGAAATCTAACAATTTTTCAACCATCCCAAGGATTCAAACCCGCCTCGGATTCTCCAACCTGCGAAACAACGATCCTTCTTGCGCTCCAGAATATTTGAAATATAGGCGATGCTACACGGAGAGAATTTATCGTTATTGAATTCGGTCCCGTCTGTGGCGTAATTGAACATCAGGAATTTCCCCCGGCTGGTGTTGAGGTCAAAACGGGAACATTCTTTGCTCTGATCGTGCTGTAAGAAAAAGTCGCAGAGAAAGAAACTAGCGTGGCTGGACTTAAAGACGATCCAGAGTCAAACTTTTAAAATTTACAGCAGGGGTGTCAAACTCAGGGCCCGTGGGCCAAATCTGGCCTGTGGGGTGCTTAGATCTGAGCAGTGGTGGGATTCAAATAATTGAAAAACCGGTTCTCTGCCCTAATGACTGGCTTGGTGGGCGTGGCCATGATGGGCGTGGCCAGGGGATGTGACAGGCAGCATTCGGCCTCCTGCACCCCCCTGGGAGCAGAAACAGGCCGCAGGGGGGGGGAAGTGCCGCCCTCCCACACCCTGTTTTGGGCCTAGTAGGTCTCCCTGCAGCCTCCTGGGAGCAAAAATGGGGCCCGTGGGACTCCTGGAAGGGGCGTGGAGGAAAGGGACCAGCCAGCAATTTAACTACCGGTTCGCTCAAACCGGCTGAATCCCACCACTGAATCTGACCCAAGGGGCCGTCCTGGAAACAGCGATGGTCTGGTCCACAGTGCCTCTGCCAGCGAAAACGGAGCTCGGGAGGGCACGGGAGAGCTCCATTTTTGGCAGGACGGCCTCCTGCAGCTCTCTGCCAACAAAAATGGAGCTGGGGGGTCGGGTATCCATTTTCACTGGCAAAGGGCTCCAGGGGACTGTCCCAGCTGAAAACGGAGCTCGGGAGGGCTGCGCGCAGTCTTCCCGAGCTCCATTTTCAGTGGCAGAGGGTTTCAGGAGGCCGTCCCTGCCGAAAACAGAGCTCAGGTGCCAGTTTTCACTGGTAGAGCGCTCGGGCCACCACAGGCGCCCCCAACACAAGTGAGGTCAAGCTGGCCATGCCCCCCCGAGGTCAAACACAACCCTGATTCGGCCCTCAATGAAATCGAGTTCGACACTCCTGATTTACAAGATGGTCGCCCAGAAAAAGGAAGGCTCACGGGTGCACCCAGGCTGTGGCCAAATTCATGCGCCAGGGTGACGTGGATCATCCGTGGAGGGAGCAGCTGGCCGTACTTCTGCAGCGTGATCAACCCCGTGTTTAGAGAGGCTTCTTTTTCCTGGAAATGCTGATATTTTGAGCAAATCCCTCCGACGTCGTCTGCAAACGACAATCACAGTGAAGAAAGAAAGAGTGAAGATTTCTACTTGCACACGGTCAACAATCCTTGGTAAGCAGGGGTGAAATACTCCCGGTTCGGACCGGATCGCCCGGTAGCAATCCGGTAGCAATGGTGGCGGGTGGTTCAGAGAACCGGTAGCAAAAATTCCTTTCCCCCCCTTCCCCATGCCCAGCTGAGCTTTTAAAACAACAGAGTCCTTTTTAAAAAGCTTTTTTCAACAACTCCTACCGCAGAAAAAACGTTTTTAAAAGTAAAAAAAAAAAAAAAGCCTCTGATGATCGCGCGGCTCAGCTGTGATCGTCAGAGGCTTTTCAAAGCATTTTTTTTCTGCAACCTCTTCAACCGAAGAGGTTGTAGGAACAAAAATGCCTTTAAAAGCCTCTCTGACGATCCCAGCTGAATTGCCTGATCGTCAGAGGGCTTTTAAAAAGCATTTTTTTCTTCAACCTCTTCGACCGAAGAGGTTGAAGAAAAAAATGCTTTGAAAAGTTAAAAAAAAAAAAGTTGGCCACGCCCACCCAGTCACATTACCCCACTCACCCACCAAGCCACGCCCACAGAACCGGTAGTAACATCATTCAGGACCTTTTCCTGTGGGAGATGGAAGTTCCGGTGAGCAGATCAGAATCCCGCAGGTGTCTCACCTGGTTGCCCATTGAAAGCAATGCCAAGGACGCCACTGTAATCCCGGTCGGTCAACAGGTAAGATAAGCAGTAACCGTCCCAATTGGTTTTTGAGTGCAGCATAAGCAACATCTCCGGACTGAGAAAGGGGGTCTGTGAAGGGTCCTCTTCTTGGACGATCTGCAGAAGTGGGACAATCCCAAATCAGGAATGGATGAGACAGAAGGGACCTCACTTCCATGTGCTCGATTGTCACTTACATAGTCCTCAACATACGACCACAAGGGAGCCCAGAATTTCAATTGTAAGTTATTTGTTGCGGCCTCTCGGCTGCCGGCCCTTCCAGCAGCCAAATCAGAGGAGGGGGAGAGGCGTGGGTGTTAGGGTCAGTGTCAGGGCCACCTTGGAGCTCCGAGCGGGAAGAGGGAATGGAGCTGGCAGAGAGAGAGAGACACAGAGGTGGAGCCTGGGCTGTCCGTCAGCCTTCAGATGGAGAGTCAACAGCCCCCAGGTCTGGAAGTGGCTGATGAGAAAGAGGAGGAACAGCTGGGTCCAGTGCCTGACACGTGGCTGTGCAGAAGGCAGAGGAGAGGAGAGCAGTGGAAATCAATGGGCCAGTCCTCGGGACAGAAGAGCCATCACTGCTAGCGAAGCCCCACCCTAGCTCTGGGGATAAAAGGCATGGGGCAGATGAATAGATTTGGCAGACAACCATCCATCTTCCAGACGGACAGACTTGTAAGCCTGTGGTGAGAGAGAAACTTTTTGCCGAGGCTGCCGGCGTTCCTAATAAAGGAATCATTGCTTCAACTACAGAGGGTTTGTCGAGTTTGGAGAGCTGGGTCAGAACATTATTTCTCTTGTAAGTCAAGGCAACCACAGGACCAGTTGATTTTAAGACCATTTTACGATGGTTGTAAAGTGAGTCATTGTGGTCATTAAGTGAGTCACCCCGGTCCTTAAGTGAAACACATATTCATTATGTGATTCCAGCTTATCCTATGGGCATTTTTGGCCCAACACGACCGAAAAAAACCCAAAAAACCATTGCAAATTGAAACATAGCAAATGACGGTCCCATGACCGCAGGACACAGCAACCAGGTCATGTTATAGACTGAATGCCTAAAATGAGATCATGTGATCAAAAGATGCTCTGAGTTTTGACCATCAGATCTGGCCAACTTTAAATTTAACAGGTTTTGGTGCCCCCTCCAGACTGACTGTATAATTCTATCAGGCTAATCCAGTGATGGCTCACCTTCTCCGGACCAAGTGCCCAAAGGGCGCAACTGTGCGCGCGAATGCGCATGTGAGCACCCAAACCAGTGGTGAAATCTAAAATTTGTTACTACCGGTTCTGTGGATGTGGCTTGGTGGGGGTGGGTAATGTGACTGGGTGGGCATGGGCAATTTTTTTTTTTAACTTTTAAAACCATTTTTTCTACAACCTCTTCGGCGAAGAGGTTGTAAAACAATGCTTTCAAAAGGCCCTGACGATCCCAGCTGAGTTGCCTGATCAGCAGAGACTTTTTTTCTTTTAAATGCCTCTGACGATCAGGCAACTCAGCTTGGATCGTCAGAGGCATTTAAAAGAAAAAAAAGTGTTTTTTCTTTTAAATGCCTCTGACGATCAGGCAACTCAGCTTGGATCGTCAGAGGCATTTAAAAGAAAAAAAGTGTTTTTTCTTTTAAATGCCTGTGACGATCAGGCAACTCAGCTTGGATCGTCAGAGGCATTTAAAAGAAAAAAAAGTGTTTTTTCTTTTAAATGCCTGTGACGATTAGGCAACTCAGCTTGGATCGTCAGAGGCATTTAAAAGGAAAAAAAAGGTTTTTTTCTTTTAAATACCTCGGACCATCCAAGCTGAGTTGCCTGATCGGCAGAGACTTTTTTTCTTTTAAAAGCTTTTGATGATCCCAGCTGAGCCGCGCGATCATCAGAGGCTTTTTTTTTTTTTTCTTTTAAAAGCATTTTTTCGGTTGAAGAGGTTGTAGAAAAAATGCTTTTAAAAGTAAAAAAAAAAGCCTCTGATGATCGTGCGGCTCAGCTGGGCATGGGGGCGGGGGGGGGCGGGCAGGGATTTTTGCTACCGGTTCTCCGAACCACCCGCCTCCATCGCTACCGGATCAGGCAATCCGGTCCGAACCGGGAGCATTTCATACCTGACCCCCAAAATGCAATACATGTGCAGCTCCCATGCATGCACCCCACCCCCGCGCATGCACAGCAGAGACCCGAAGACCAGCTGGCCAGCGGGAGGAGCGCGGCACAGCTGAAATGGGGTGACAGCTCACATGTACACAGACAGGGCGCTGTGTGCCACCTCTGGCACGTGTGCCGTAGTTTCGCCATCACGGGGCTAAGCCCAACAACCCAAAAATTAGTTACCTGGAATTCAGAACGGCTAGTCCTTGACTTATCACCATCCATTTAGTGTTCATTTCCAGTTCATTTACAACCATTCATTCGAAGTTACAAGGGCACTGAAAAAAAGTGACTGAAAACCGTTTTTCACAGTCACAACATTTTTCACACTTGCAGCCTTCCCTGTAGTCACCTGATCAAAACTCAGATGCTTGGCAAGTGGTTCGTATTTATGACGGTCGCAGTGTCCCGGCGTCACGTGATTCCCCTTTTGCGACTTGCCGACAAGCAAAGTCGATGGGGAAGCCAGATTCACTTAACCACCGTGTGACTCACTTAACAACTTCAGTGATTCATTTAACAAGGGCGGTGAGAAAAATCGTAAAATGGGGCAAAACTCCCTTAACCAATTTCTCACTGAGCAACATAAATTTTGGGCTCAAGTGTGGTCATAAGTTGAGGACTACCTGTATTTGCTATTGGGTAATTTTTTTTTCTGGAAAACCGGAAGTAAATGCCGGTTTACTTTCAGAAAAATAATTCATAAATCTCATGCAACCTCACTTCAGGATGTTGCAAACAGCTGCAAATATGGGCTGGTTCTCTAGGTCCCAAATATGTTCACAAGATCAGAAGAGGAATGGTTGGACATCAAAACTCTGAATCCAGGACATAAATCTGTTTCTCGGGGTCCGTCATAATTTTGAATAGTGTCTAAGCAACTGCAATAGCATCGTCCCCTTTTAAGATTTAATTACTTTTCGGTGGAAATCCTAATGACAAATTCCCCATAACTCTGTCCAAAAGGAGCTGCTGGAACCTACTGTGATCGTCTTAACTTTGAACTCGATGGTCCTGATCCGGCCAAATTCAGCGGCTTCATAAATGGTGTTTACAGCTTTTATGTAGTTGGCAATCTAGAAAAAAAACAGGAAAATATCTTGGTTTGGGTTCACACCAGTGGTGAAATCCAATTTTTTTTTTTACTACCGGTTCTGTGGGTGTGGTTTGCTGGGCGTGGTGTGGCTTGCTGGGCGTGGCAGGGGAAGGATAATTGCAAAATCTCCATTCCCACCCCACTCCAGGGGAAGGATACTGCAAAATCCCCATTCCCTCCCCACTCCTGGGGGAAGGATATTGCAAAATCTCCATTCCCACCCCACTCTGGAGCCAGCCAGAGGTGGCATTTGCTGGTTCTCCGAACTACTCAAAATTTCCGCTACCGGTTTTCCAGAACCTGTCAGAACCTGCTAGATTTCACCCCTGGTTCACACAATGCTTGGATTCCTGGGGTCATATAAATACATGAGATTCCATTGCTATAGCTTAGTGTTTCTCAACCATGGCCACTTAAGAGGTATGAACTTCAACTCCCAGAATTCCTCAGTCAGTCCTTGATAGCTTTATGATGTGTGGACTTCAACTCCCAGAACTCCTCAGTCTTCCCTTCACCATTTTATGACGTGTCGACTTCAACTCCCAGAACTCCTCAGTCAGCCTCTGACAGCTTTTATGATGCTTGGACATCAAGTCCCAGAATTCCTCAATTAGCCCTTCCTAGCTATATGAAGTGTCAACTTCACCTCCCAGAATTCCTCAGTCAGTCCTTCACAGCTTTACAATGTGTGGACTTCAACTCCCAGAACTCCTCAATCAGCCCTTCACCATTTTATGACATGTGGACTTTAACTCCCAGAACTCCTCAGTCAGCCTCTGACAGCTTTTATGATGCTTGGATATCAAGTCCCAGAATTCCTCAATTAGCCCTTCCTAGCTATATGAAGTGTCAACTTCACCTCCCAGAATTCCTCAGTCAGTCCTTCACCATTTTATGATGTGTGGACTTCAACTCCCAGAATTCCTCAGTCAGTCCTTGATAGCTTTATGACATGTGGACTTCAACTCCAGAACTCCTCAGTCAGCCCTTCACCATTTTATGACATGTGGACTTCAGCTCCCAGAATTCCTCAGTCAGCCATTCTGGTTGGAGAATTCTGGGAGTTGAAGTCCACCCATCTTCAAATGGCCAAGTTTGGGAAATGCTGCTATTACCCAATCCCATTTAGCCCGTCTTAGCATCCTGTGTGGATGCAACTACAGAATTACTCTGCCAGAAAGGTGGAGATGAGAATGACAGGAAGGGGCAGGCGTGCCCAGGAAGAGGGCAACCTTTGCAAAATCCCCCTCCCACCTCCAGATATGATGGTGAGTCACCAAAGGTGGGGCTAGGCAAAGAAGTGTAGGAAGTTAGCACCCACCCCTCTCTGGGAAAATGAGATATTTTTAGGAAATATTAAAAAGGGCAAAATATTTCCCCTAAAAAGGGAGGCAGAAACTCAGCCCCCCCACACTTTGTCAATGGGCCATTAAGGCCTGGGCCAGCCTATTCTCTATAACAAAGATCTACCTCCTTCAGGCAGACCCATAGTAGGAATTGCCCAAAGCCCTTTCATTATATCATCACCCAGCAAGAGTCAACCAAGCTTGGGATTCAGGACAAACTACAAAGTTACCCCTGCGTGGCCCCATGGGAGTCTGACAACCAATCAGAACACAAGCTCAAATTCAAAAGCTCAGAGAGGGTATAAAACCCAGGCACTCTCAGCATCTCTTCCCTTTTTTTCTCTTCACCCCAGATCTTTAAGGCATGGGATCCTGTCCACCATTAAAACCCTACTTGGATCAGGAGGCTCTCCTCACAGTCACTCATGCCCTTGTCACCTCACGGTTAGATTATTGCAACACGCTCTACTTGGGGCTACCCTTGAAAAGTGTTCGGAGACTATAGTTGGTCCAGAACGCAGCCGCGCGAGCTGTCGTGGATGCACCTAGATACACCCACATTACACCAGTTCTCCACGAGCTGCACTGGCTCCCTATTGGTCTCCGGGCACAATTCAAGGTGTTGGTTATTACCTTTAAAGCCCTACATGGCTCAGGGCCAGGGTATCTTCGAGACCGCCTTCTACCGCATAGCTCCCAGCGACCGGTAAGATCCCACAGAGTTGGTCTCCTCCGGGTCCCGTCAGCTAAACAATGCCGGCTGGCGGGCCCGTGGGGAAGGGCCTTCTCTGGGGCTGCCCCAGCTCTCTGGAACCAGTTACCTCCTGAGATCTGGACTACCCCCACCCTATTCGCCTTCCGAAAAGCGGTGAAGACCTGGCTTTTCCGACAGGCCTGGGGCCGTTGATCTCGCTCTTGTGATCTGGCGAGATCTGGCCATGAATGGCATGAATGGTTTTTAATGTTTTTAATGTTTTTAATTTAAAATGTTTTTTTATAATGATTTTTTGGAATGTATTGTGAGCAACCCTGAGTCTTCGGAGAGGGGCGGCATATAAATTGAATTAATTAAATTAAATTAAATTAAAACCATCTTTCCAAGCAGCCTCCATGTTTCCAGGGTCTTTCTCCCCACTTGGAACTGAACCAAGAAGGACATTCCTTCCAACAGAGTATACCCGTTCTAGCTCCACCTCCTTTTATCTTGACCCTCCCCCTTCATCCTTTTTTAAAAAAAAAAAAGAGGGGGGGATTTGCACACCTGGGCGATCACGGCTTCCACAGAGCCAAACCTTTGGTAGAACAGGTGATCGGCTTGAAGGTGAAGCAGGCAGGAAGTCTTCGAATAATTCAAGCTCCTCCTGGGCCGATGAGTGTGGTTTGCCTGTGGAGAGTCCATGAAACAGGTGGGTGAGAGAAGGAATAAATTCAATCGGCAGTCCTCGACTTACAACGGTTCACTTAGTGACCGTTTGAAGTGACGTCACTGAAAAAAATTGACTTCTGACCATTTTTCACACTTACGGGACCATTGTCCCGTGCTCGAAATTCGGACCCTTGGCTACCGACTCACATTTATGACCGTCGCAATGTCCCGGGAGTCATGGGATCCCCTTTTTGTGACCTTCTGATCAAAATCAATGGGGAGTCTAGTTTCACTTAACAACCGTGTGACTAATTTACCAACTTCAGTGATTCCCTTAACCACAGTGGTGAGAAAAGTCGTAAAATGGGGCAAAACTCACTTAACGAATGTTTCGCTTAGCGACAGGAAATTTGGGCTCAACTGTGGTCATAAATCGAGGACTACCTGTACGGGAAGCTAAACAAGGTTAGAAAGATGTATCGGAGGTTGAATTACATTAGACCAGCCTCAAAGACAGGTAATCCTCGATTTATGACCAGAATTGAGCCCAAAATCTATCTCGCTAAGTCAGACACTTATTAAGTGAGTTTTGTCCCGTTTTACGACCTTTCCTGCCAGGGTCTTTAAGTGAATCACTGCGGATATTCAGTTAGTGACACGGTTGTTAAGTGAATCTAACTTCCCCATTGATTTTGCTGGTCATAAGCTTGCAAAAGGGGATCCCATGACCCCGGGACACTGCAACCGTGGTAAATGTGAGTCGCTTGCCAAGCCTCCGAATTCTGAACACGTGACCATGGGGGTGCTGCAACGGTCATTAGAGTGAAACACGGTCACAAGTCACTTTTGCCAGTGAGGTTGTATTTTCGAATCGGTCACTAAATGAACTGTTGTAAGTCGAGGACAACCTGCGTACGGTCGGTGATTTAGTGGCGTGGAAAACTCATTTGTTTCACCACGATCGATGCTTTTTTTTTTTTTTTTTTACCTTTGCTGTCAGCTGCCGTTGGAAATCTTGCAGTCGTCGGTGCAGTTTCTGAGCCAGCGATGCTGATTTGGAGTCGTGCAGAAGATTATAATCTACAAAAGTCACAATCGATGTTCTGTCCTCGCTGCACACGTTTATCCCGTGTGCGGCCTGAGACATGCAGCTAAAATAAATCAGATCAGGATGTTTTGTTCAAGGAAGAGGATGGCTTTAGCTGCGTGTCAAGCTGGACACGGGATAACGTGTAGTTTTACAGGACAAAGCAGTGAAACAGCCGGGCTGGGTATGTGGGATTGTGGATTTTTTTGTCCTCGGATGAACCTGCGTCACGGATTAGGCTGGGTGGATGGATGGATGGCTGCGCGGTGTGAAGCCGGCTGGATTTTTATTTCAAGGGAAAAAAAGATTCCTAAAGACACCAGGAGCCAAATGGGTTAGCTAAGAAGATCAAGGGAGATTTCAAAAAACAAACAAGGATCGTTGCAAAGCGGAGACAAAGGAAGATGGAAAACAAAACTGAGAATTAATTAAACTCGTCTAACTGACAAGATTTTTTTTTTCTGCCTTGGGAAGGAAATACGTGGCCTTAAAATGAAAGTATTGATAGGTAGCGGCCAAAGGGAATATCAATACAGTTCCATTCTCCACCTGTCTTTTTGCTTGCCTTCCTTCCTTCCTTCCTTCCTTCCTCCCTCCCTCACTCACTCACTCAGTCACTCACTCCCCTCTTCTTCCCTCCCATCACTTCCCTTCCTCCTTCCCTCCCTTCATTTCCTTCCTTCCTTCCTTCCTCACTCACTCACTCAACCCCCTCTTCTTCCCTCCCACCACTTCCTTCCTTCCTTCTTTCCTTCCCTCCCTCCTCCCTCCCTCCCTCCCTTCCTCACTCACTGACTCCTTTCCTCCCCCCTTCTTCCCCTCTCCCTCCCTCCCTCACTTTTTTCCCCTCCCTCCCTCCCTCCCTCAACTCTTCTTCCCTCCCACCACTTCCTTTTCTTCCCTCCTTCTATCCTCCCTTCATTCCTCCCTCACTGACTCCTTTCCTCCCTGTTCTTCCCCCCTCCCTCCCTTCATTTCCTTCCTTCCTTCCCTCCTTCCTCACTCACTCCCCTTCTTCTCTCCCCTTCCTCCCTCCCTCACCTCTTCTTCCCTCCCACCACTTCCTTCCTTCTTTTCTTCCTTCCCTCCCACCTCCCTCCCTTGATCCCTCCCTCCATCACTCTTCCCTCTCCCTTCCTCCCTTCTTCCTTCCCTCCCTCCCTCCCTTCTCGTTCTCATTTTTCATTAATTCCTGCCTGCCTCCTTCTTTCTCCTCCCTTCCTTCCTTCCTCCATCCCTCCCTCCCAATTTTTTTTGCTAATGATTTCACAATCTCCCTTTTCAGCCTTGTTAAAATGATAATTTAATGGCCGCTTTCGTAGGCGTTGAACATGGGGGACCCTATTTGACCCAAAGTCTTCAGGCTTCTCTTCCTCTCTCTTCTATTTGAAAGGGAATTTCAACCCGATTGACCTGCTGAAGAAAATTGGTGATGGGGTGAGAACTGGGGGTGGGGGGTGGGGGGCTTGAGCCTGTTCTCACCTAAGTCCCTCTGGTGATGGATGAAGGAATGGGCCTCCGGAGGCTCTTTGACCACAGCAGCAGATTCCATGTAATAGGTGCCATTCTGGGTCTGGATGAATCCCTCAAAGACGCCGTGGATGATGGACCCGTGGCAGAAAGAAGCTGCGTCTCCTGTCCAAAAGTCACTTTAGTCATATCAGAAAAAGCTACAGTAGAAACCAGATTGATCGTCACGGCAAGAAGGTCGTAAAGCGGTGAAGTTTTGCAGGTTATTGGGTTTAAACATTTATTGCGTTTCCTGAGCAGAGAGGCTGCACCCATCCCTCTCCACAGTGCAAATCCCCAACTCCATCAATTGGGTTTAAAATCAAAACAGAAATTCCATGATGAGGTGAGAATGATAATATAAATGAAAAGATCCTTGCAAGGACATTTTCAGTATTTCTTTAAAAAACTAGAAACTTCATTTAAAAAGGATTCGATGATGACAGGAAGGGGAAGGGGAGGAAAGGAAGAAGGGAAGGGAAGAAAAGGGAAGAAAAGGAAAGGGAAGGAAGAAGGGAAGCAAAGGGAAGAAAAGGAAAGAAAAGGAAAGGGAAGGAAGAAGGGAAGGGAAGCAAAGGGAAGAAAAGGAAAGGAAAGGAAGAAGGGAAGGGAAGGAAGAAGGGAAGGGAAGGAAAGGAAGAAGGGAAGGGAAGGAAAGGAAGAAGGGAAGGGAAGGGAAGGAAGAAGGGAAGGGAAGGAAAGGAAGAAGGGAAGGGAAGGAAGAAGGGAAGGGAAGCAAAGGGAAGAAAAGGAAAGGGAAGGAAGAAGGGAAGGGAAGGAAGAAGGGAAGGGAAGGGAAAGAAGAAGGGAAGGAAAGGAAGAAGGGAAGGGAAGGGAAGGGAAGGAAAGGAAGAAGGGAAGGAAAGGAAGAAGGGAAGGGAAGGAAAGGAAAGGAAGAAGAAGGGAAGGGAAGGAAGAAGGGAAGGGAGGGAAGGGAAGGAAGAAGAAGGGAAGGGAAGGGAAGGAAGAAGGGAAGGGAGGGAAGGGAGGGAAGGGAGGGAAGAAGAAGGGAAGGGAAGGAAAGGGAAGGAAAGGAAAGGAAAGGAAGAAGGGAAGGGAAGGAAGAAGAAGGAAAGGAAAGGAAAGGAAAGGAAGCAAATGGACGAGGAGTGTTGGATATATAAATTCTGTGAATAGATAAGTAACAGGGAAAGGAGAAAGAGAATATAGGGTGGGACCTCTACTCCACCTTGTAGGGTGCCTGAATAAACGGAGGAGACATCTGCGGGTTCGGAGGTCTCGTTCATCACAAGCACAACGTCCTTAGCGAAGACCCTCGTGTCCTTCCAGAGATGCAGCCTAAAGATCCTGAAATAGGGTTTATTACCACACACCATTCAACAGTTGCTTTTCTGATGCATGATCAATCTGGACCAGGCCACGAACCTTTGAAATGCATGGAATTCCAACCACAAGGATCGCCGGGCTCCTCGGCTCACTTCCCGATGCGCCTTCTCCAAAGCCCCTCGGTCGTAGGAAAGTTTCTCCTGGGATTTGACAAACGCTCGCATGGGGCTGGCTCCATTTGCTTTGGCAGGGAGAGAAGCAGAAGGTTGGAAGGGACCTACCTACTTTCCCTCCCTCTTCTTTTTCCTTCCTTCCTTTCCTCCCTCCCTCTAGGTTCCTTCCTTCCTTCCTTCCTTCCTTCCTCTAGTTTCCTTCCTTCCTTTCCTTCCTTCCTCTAGTTTTCTTCCTTCCTTTCCTCCCTCCCTCTAGGTTCCTTCCTTCCTTTAGTTCCCTTCCTTCCTTCCTTCCCTTCCTTCCTCTAGTTTGTTTCCCTCCCTCCTTCCCTCCCTCCCTCCTTCCTTCCTCTAGTTCCCTTCCTTACCTTCCTTCTAGTTTCCTTCCTTCCTTCTAGTTTCTGTCCTTCTTTCCTTCCTTCTTTCCTTCCTTCCTTCCTCTAATTCCCTTCCTTTCTTCCTTTCCTTCCTCTAGTTTGTTTGTTTCCCTCCTTCCTTCCTCCCCTCCCTCCTTCCTTCCTCTAGTTCCCTTCCTTCCCTTCCTTCTAGTTTCCTTCCTTCCTTCTAGTTTCTGTCCTTCTTTCCTTCCTTCCTTCCTTCCTTCCTCTAATTCTTCCTTTCTTCCCTTCCTTCCTCTGTTTGTTTCCCTCCTTCCTTCCTTCCTTCCCTCCCTCCCTCCTTTCTTCCTCTAGTTCCCTTCCTTACCTTCCTTCTAGTTTCCTTCCTTCTTTCCTTCCTTCTTTCCTTCCTTCCTTCCGTTCCCTTCCTTCCTTGCTTCCTCTAGTTTCCTTCCTTCCTTCTTTCCCTTCCTTCTTTCCTCTAGTTTCCTTCCTTCCTTCCCTTCCTTCCTCGTTTGTTTCCTTCCTTCCTTCCTTCCTCTAGTTCCCTTCCTTCCCTGCCTTCTAGTTTCCTTCCTTCCTTCCTTCTTCTAGTTCCTTTCCTTCCTCCCTCTAATTTCCTTCCTCCTCTAGTTCCTTTCTTTCTTCCCTCCCTCCCTCCCTCCCCTTTCTCTCTCCCTCCTTCCCTTCCTTTCCCTTTTCCGTCCTTTCCTTCTTTCCTCCCTCCAATTTATAGAGTCACCCACTTCGCATACTTCATATAATGCCGTTCATCCATTTCATATGAAGCCCCTTTGATCTTGTGACTAAGGCACGAGGGCTAGAAAGTGGGAGACTGTGAGTTCTAGTCCCACTCAGCCATGAAAGCCAAATGGATGATTTTAGTCACAATGTATAAGAATTAATCATACACTCAGCAATGCAGGAAGAATGAAAATGAGGATCTCCTCCTGGAAGGTAGTTTTAAAATTCCTCATTTTGAAAATCCTGCAACACACTCCGCTCCGTTTTACAGCCCCTGACCTTCCAAGATCTTAATCTAAACTTTAAAATAAATCCTTAGAAACAAATAATTTTTTGTCAACAAGAACAAATTTCTAAAGGCCTCAGGCAGCTCCTTAGCACGAATCAGCCCGTGACTTGGTCTCGGGCACCAAATATGGAGAGCAAATTTTGCAGAGATTCAAGGAAGGTTTCTCCTTGCCAAATATATATATTTGGATAAATTGGAGGGAGGAAAGAAGGAAAGGACGGAAAAGGGAAAGGAAGGGAAGGAGGGAGAGAGAAAGGGGAGGGAGAGAGGGAGGGAGGAAAGAAAGAAAGGAACTAGAGGAGGAAGGAAATACATATATATGAAAATTCCTACCTGTGCACGTCGTTTGGGAAAGAAGAAGATTCCAGAAAGGTAAATTTAAGTACCAGAAAGAAACCATGGACTCCAAAGTTCTTTTTTCCTTCCTTGCAAATGAGATTTGACGGAATCAGAGCTGCGTTGCTAAAGGCGAAATAAACCAGAATGCAGGCAGGATCTTGCACAGGCTTGTTTGACCCCGAATTGTTGGAAGCCGATGAGCCAAGTTGCAGTCAATCCCTGCCCATCTAGGAAATATTACTATCTCCCTAAAAATGCATTTTTCACAAAACCTAAACAATTTGTTTCAGGATGCAGACACAGGAAGACTCAGGGAGATGTCAAAACATTCTGTGGGACAATAAAACTACCCTATAAATCAAGAGTGTCCAATCATGGCAACCTTAAGACCTCTGGACTTCAATTCCCAGAATTCCCCAGCCAGGGAACAGGTCTTAAAGTTGCTAAGGTTGGACACCCCAGGTATAAATCATTGCCTATTATCAAAGATTTGCAACACATGAAAGTTTGTTGACTTAAAATTTATGCACCAATAATCTGTTTTTCTATTATTATTTTTTCCCCGTGCCCCTTGAGCTAGAGAAAGCCTGTTTATTGACAATTATTTAAGTCTACATTAGTGGCCAAAATTGTGGAGACCTTTTGGGAAAAGTGTATTTTCTAAAACTAGCTAATAACACCACTTTTTTTTGGAGTAGTAGTACATATAAAATTATATATGAATGGAAAGATAATTTAATCAAGAATGTAATGCAATCGCTTTTATGAAGGATTTGCTATTAGAATAGCAGTTACCGTATAAAGAAGAAAAGTGAAACACATAAAAAAACAAGATAGACAAAAATGATCACCATAAAGAAAACGCGATATACAAAAATGATCCCCATGTCAGTTAGTACTTAGTTGGGTAACCTTTAGCATGAATGACGGCCTTACAACGTCTTCCCATGGAGTGAACCAAGTCTTTGAGTTCTGCAGCTGTTAGCATGCAAAACCAAGATTGAATGATTGCTTCTATTAACTGGGGTTTATTGCTGGGTCGCTTCTGACTAACAAGTTTCTTTAGTTGGCTCCATAGATTTTCAATTGGGTTAAGAAGGTCTTGGCTATTCCCAGGACATTCCAGCAGTGGAATAGGATTTTATTGAAACTCCAATATATATATATTATATATATATTATATAACTCCATATATAGCAGATTTTAGCTGAGGTTTTAAAGGACCTTGCAGAGTGCTCTGTAAGGATTTTTAGAAGATTTTAAGCTGGGATTTTAATCAGGATTTTAAATATTTTAACCAACTTATTTACAATGACGCGGGAAAGCACCAGAGATTTTAATTTTTTGTGTATATATCTATCTATCTATCTTTGGTTATTCGGGTTTTCTCCCGCGTAAAATTGGAGGTTTCTTGGCAACGTTTTGATGAAGTCTCGTTGCCAAGAAACCTCCAATTTTATGCGGGAGAAAACCTATATATATATATATACACATACATACATATATATACACATATACATATACATATACACACACACACACACACACACACACACACACACACACATATATGGTGTTATTAGCCATCAAACCTCAAAAATTCCACAATTTTGGCCACTACTGTATTTACTCATCCTTCCATCCACCTTGCTGAGTTTGAGAGACTCTGTTCTATGCCATTAAATTAAAGGACCATGTTAGTATTATATGTACAGTATTTTTTAATTATTTTGTGCAGAATGTTCTGAATCCTCCTTGGTCCACACAAACGTCCCTGGAGTTCAGATTTGGCCGGCCAGCCCTCTCTTATTGCTAAGTCGTCCTTGCTTAGTGGAGCACCTGGTGGTGCCCTTTCCTTAGTAATGCTGGATAGAACCCTCGATGAGGGTTCCAGACTGGGGAAAAGTTTTCCACTTTCAGATATGGGTATTCCTCAATGTCTTCCTTACTAAGATAGATAAGGAGAAAATCTGGCTGTCCATCTTAATGCAGAATCCCATTGCTGTTGGTTTACAAGTATAATCCGAATTGGGACCAGTTACAGGTAGTCCTCGATTTACAACCATCCGTTTAGTGACCGCTCGAAGATACAATGGCCCTGGAAGAAAATGATTTACGACCATTTATCACACTTATGATCGTTGTAGCATCCCCACGGTGACGGGATCAAAATTCTGACCCTTGGCAACATGTTCGTATTTATGATGGTTTGCAGTGTCCCAGGGTCATGTGTTCCCCTTTTGCGACCTCCCGACAAGCAAAGTCAATGGGGAAGCCGGATTGCCTTAACAACCATATAACTCACTTAACAACTACAACAGTTACTTGACAAGAAAGGTCATAAAACAGGGCAAAACTCGCTTAATAACTTTCGCCTCAATTGTGGTCGTAAATCGAGGATTACCCATATTGTACCTTAGATTGGGTGAGAGAGATTGTCCTTGGGTGACAACACTCGTTCAGTGACTGTGATGACAGTGCTGACGAAAGGGGACTTAAAAACGGTCCTCAAAGTTGCGGCCGTCAGTGTCCCCATGATCAAGGAATTGAGATTCGGGCATGTCAGAGTATATTCATGAACTGGAATAGGGCATAGCAACAGGTCAGCCAATGAGGGCTGTTTGGAAACTGAAACATAGTGTTTGTTTGTATGGGGCCATAAGAGACAGTTTGAAGTCTGGACTTGCTGAAATATATATATGAGTTGGTTTGGCCTCTAATGTACAATATATTAGCCTCTGTATCAGAGGTGGGTTTCAGCAGGTTCTGACCAGTTCTGGAGAACCCATAGCGGAAATTTTGAGTAGTTCGGAGAACCGGTAGTAAAAATTCTGAACGGCCCCGCCCCCATCTATTCTCTGCCTCCTAAATCCCAGCTGATCGGGAGGAAATGGGGATTTTGCAGTAACCTTCTCCTGGAGTAGGGAGGGAATGGAGATTTTACAGTATTCTTCCCCTGCCACGCCCACCAAGCCACGCCCACAGAACCGGTAGTAAAAAAAATTGAAACCCACCACTGCTCTGTATCTCTCTACTCTGTAATGACTTGCTTCTGTGAGTATTGCTTCTGCGTTCCTGATATTGTATGCTGAATTCTTCTGTTTGGTATTGTATATAAAGAAGTTTCTTACGTAATTTGAATCCTGCTGAAGTTCATTTAATTGTGTCTGATCGTGTGTGCTGCAACAAACTCTTGGCAATTGGCTCAAAATTACAATGGTTGTAGCGTCCTGTAGTTGTGTGATCATCCTCTAGTTATGCGATCGTCCTGTAATTATGTGATCCTGCAATTTTGCAACCTGCCCCTCTGTCTTTCTGCAAGCAGTCAATGGGGAAGACAGCAGGAAATTGAGTGTTCTTCCCCCTGGTTCTTCACCCACCTGCCCATCAGGTAGGGGTGAAATGCTCCTGGTTCAAACCGGATTGCCTGATCTGGTAGTGATGGAGGCGGGTGGTTCGGAGAACCGGTAGCAAAAATCCCTGCCCCCCACCCCATTGCCCAGCTGAGCCACGCAATCATCAGAGGCTCTTTTTTTATTTTTAAAAGCATTTTTTCTACAACCTCTTTGGCCAAAACTATGCTTTTAAGCACGGCTCAGCTGGGATCATCAGAGGCTTTTAAAAAAAAGAGAAAGCCTCTGCCGATCAGGCAAGTCAGCTGGGATCGTCAGAGGCTTTAAAAGCATTTTTTTTACAACCTCTTCAGCTGAAGAGGTTGTAGAAAAAATAGTTTTAAAAGTAAAAAAAAAAAAAGTTGGCCACGCCCACTCAGTCATATTCCACCACCACCAAGCCACGCCCACAGAACCAGTAGTAACAAATTTTACATTTCACCATTGCCATCAGAGGTGGGTTCTACTTACCTTTACTACTGGCTCGCAACGGGACCGCGCACATGTGCAGAAACTTCCTGATGACGTCTGGGTGGGTGGGCAGAGCCTCCCGCCAGTTTTACTACCGGTTCTTGCGAACCGGTCCGAACCGGGGGCAACCCACCACTGCTGCCCATTCCCCGTAGCATCTGCCCATGACACAAATCTACCTGTAGCTCTCATTTGCGGACCTGGGATTTCTTTCTCTTCTCACATTGCGGTCGCGTGAGGTCCTTGCTTAACAACCCGTGTGGTCCGGGTGGGATTACAAGAGGAAACTCTGGGATTGCTATCCTGAAGCAATACAGCCATGTGATGTTGTACTTTACAATCTCTTCACTCACCACGGAGACACAATCACTTGACCAAGGGGTGCTGCAAGAGCTGTTAAGAGCAGAGTTCCCCAACTTTCTGGGTTGGCGGCCTGGAGCGGGGGGAGGGGAGGGAGGGTGGAAATGAGGGGATGGTTTTTTGGGGGGCAGGTATATGCGTGCGTGTGTGTGAGTGCCCACGACATTCACCAGTGGGGTTGCGAGCGCCCGTGACAAGGCTCGTTCAAGTGGGATCGTGTCTATAGCGGAGGTGTCAAACTCAATGTCATTGAGGGATGCATAAGGGTTGTGTTTGACCTCCCGGGAGGGGGTGGGCAGGATAGACGTGGCTGGAGGTAGGCATGGCCAGTTTGACGTCACTCATGTCGGGGACACCTGTGGTGGTCATGTGCTAAGGCAGGACTTCTCTGAGACCCTCCATCACTCTCATGATAATCTTCCTTCCTTCCAATTTCTTTCTTTCTCTTCTTCCTCACTCTCCTTCCTTCCTTCCATCTCCCATCTTTCCTTCCTTCCTATCTCCTTTTCTTTCCTTCCTTCCTTCCATGTCCCATCACCATCCTTCCTTCTCCTTTCTTCTTCCTTCCCCTTTCCTTCTTTTTCCTTCCTTGCTCTCCTCCCATCTTCCCTTCTTTTCCCTTTCCTTTGTCTTTCCTCTTTCCCTTTGTCTTTTCCCATCCCTGTATTTTTGCATGCTCAAATGCAAAAGGGAAAACATTTCTCCTTTTGTTTTGTTTTTACTTTGTTTTGCTAGCCCTCAGCCAGCAAAAACGGAGACTGGGGGTGGGGGTGTGGAGAGGCACATGACCCAGGCCCCATTTTCGGCTGCGACGGCCTTTTGCAGTGCTCTGCCAGTGAAAACAGGGCTCATTTTCGCTGGCAGAGGGCTGCAGGAGGCCATCGCAGCCAAAAACGGGGCCTGGAGGGGCTGCACGCAGCTGTCTCGAGCTCCGTTTTCACCGAGAGGCACCACGGGCCGGTCCTTTGCCGTTTCCAAGGCAGCCCTGCGGGCCAGATGTAAGCACTCCGCGGGCCCCGAGTTTGACAACCCTGGTCTACAGTGACACTCACACGAGTGGGGCTGTGAGCACCCATGAGGCTGGTGCAAGTGGGGCCGTGCATACATGCAGATGTGGGGCACACCAGCTGGCCACTCATGCTGCCTGGTGACGATTAGGCCGCAGCCCGGTAGTGGGCCGTGGCCCACAGGTTGGGGGCCCCTGCATTAGAGGCCCAGTTTTAAGTCCCCTGCATTCAATGCTGTCATTAACAGTACTGATCATAATGCAAGGACTAACTGTGGGTCACTCAATCACCATTGCCCTCTCCTAGGTTATTATTTATTTATTATTTATTTATTTAATTTGTATACCGCCCTACTCCTGAAGGACTCAGGGCAGTGAACAGCCGAATAAAATACATATAATATAAATGTTAAAAAATCATTAAAATACAATTAAATAATTGGCTCGGAA